ATAAGGTAAATTACAACAATCATTGACTAAACTATAATTGGAATATATGCTGAATTAATGATAATGGCTAACTAATTATGTATAATATTATTATTTCTAATACATAGCTCTCTTGATACCATATGAGTATGACATGTGCATATATAGGAAGAGTGGCATCTTCAAACAGGGATGGACCCATGATTTTTTTTAACGGTGGCACCATTTGACCATAAGAAAAAAAAATATAGGAAATTTTTTTCAAACGTTGGCACCGTTTGACTAAAAAAATGACCCTGACATGATTCGAACTTAGGTGTGGGGTGGAATAAAAGCCTTGCAAACCAACTCTACCGAATAAAACTTGTTCTCATTGTAGTTTCAAAATACATACGGTGACATACAACAAAATAATACAGTTGCACCGTTCACGAAACCTAAATTTTTTACCCTTCAGCAGAGAAACGATACGGTAGCACGTGTCACTCATGGCACTTAACTAGGTTCGTCTATGGTCCTAACATTTCTGTAGTAAAAGTTATTTTATTAAAACTACGGAAACTCATGTGACTAGCACATGATGGCACTTGACAATTGTTACTAACGACCGTTAGGGTGGTGACCAATTTTTACAATTGAGTCCTTATATTGATTTCGTATTCGGGTCCTACTTCACGTAGGAGCAAGTTATTTTGCATAAAACCATCTTCTCTTTAAATGACGCATTAGGGGAACTTGAGAGTCCTATAACTAACGTATTCATGTTTTAAATCACAACATGGACATCCAGCTACAAGCAACCTAAAACCGCAAAACTCTTTAAAAACAATTATATATGACTGGTATTCAATTAGCAAAGTATATAACATGACTCTGTACTGTTGGAACTTATGGGTTTTATCTACAATTTTGTGTATTATGTATCCCACACAGGTGGGTGAGAAAAGTGAAAGTGTGTTAATAAGTAGTATTCCACTCAAATGTTTGAAAGTCTTTTAGGAGGTTTTTTTAGAGGGAATTGGTGGATGATTCATTTGGTTTATAATTATAATATATTACAAATCAAAGACTTGGCACTTTGCATCCTTCGAAAATAATTTCTGTCATTATTTTTATACAGAATTAATTCTGTTAATGGCAGTTATTTTTGGAGGGAAAAACGTATTTTGGCAGTTGACTTTCCAAAAAGTGTGTTAATTCATGAAAAATCATGTTGGTTCGTTTTAATTACTATATAAGGGTGCATATGGTCGTATGAATAGATAACATAATCTGATACACTTTCTATACATACGAAATTGCAATCGTTTGATGTTCATGTGAACTTTATGTACGCTGCATAAAGTTCTATTAATTGAGGTTGAATCCTGGGAAGAAATTAGTCTTGAACCACCGGCATAAATAGTGGAGGCTAATATTCTTTAAGAATAGTGATTATCACGTCCTCAATTCTGTTTATATTACAAAAGCAAATCTGCCATATTCTAACATGTACATAGTCTAATTTTGCGTATTTAAGGTCTCTAGATACGAGTGTTCATGAGTTCTATTAGTTGTTTGGCCCACTCCAATCCACGTGTCATACATATTGCTCACAATTCAGTCTTTCATCAACATATGTCTGATTGTTTGTTTACATGAAAATGTAATAACACTTGGAAGGATGAATCCAATTACAACTTTTATTTATGCCAAATCATGTCCCCTTGTTTAACTAAACATCATTTGCAGCTTCATATTATATATATACTCTTAATTATTAACATGATTTCTTACAAATTCATTATCAATCAATACAATACTCTCTTTAGTATACAAAACTTGGCTTGCTAAACATCAACCAATGCCAAGGTATCATAACAGGTGATCATGAGTTTATGATGCTTCCCATACCTTGTAATCGTTGCCTTCATACGCCACCGACCAGTTGAGGGACCCACTTTCGGGTTCGTAATGGCCCGGTCCCATCTTCATTGCCACCTTTTCATCAATTATGGCTGCATAAACATCTCTTTCTGTCTTGGTCACTCTAACCTATACACATATATATATAACAGAAACAGGAATGATTAATTATGAACCAAACACTACCTCTGTTTACTATATTAATTATATCCGTAAATAATAATGAACTCCTGAAATTTATGATACTTACTGTACTCCGGCATTGGATCTTGTTGCGGTTCCTAATCGAGATAAGTGCAGAAATATCGGACTTGTGGTGGGAGAACAAATGGTCGTAGAAGACCGATGGTGTTCCAGGATGAGTCAGGATGTAAGCATATCCTTGCATCTCCTTTCCACCAGGAAACCGCCAGTGACCCTTTAATTTGCAACCAAGTCCAATAAATTAATAAATTTTGAAAAGGATCCAACCATTACTATACTGCCCTTCTTGATCCCCTTGATTTCTGAATGTATGCTAAATTCATGGGGAATGGTTTCAACTGAAATCAGTGAATACCTGTGTAGAACCAGTATCATGATTTTCGATAAAGGTGACAGCACGAGAGGGCCACCAGCCAACAACACCTGGTGGTTTTCCATTTGAATCACATAATCTCCAGTATTCACATCTTTCAATTGCCTGTATATATATAAACATTTATGGATGGATCCAAACTGCAAGTGTTTCAAAAATGATAACGGACATTTTTAGTATTCTAAAATACACTTACAGAATGAAGAATTCCTTTTGTTGTGACATCAAAGGCTCCAGCAGTTCCATTGGTAGCATTTATCCAGTCAATAATCCTCTGCCGATGGGCATCTTGATTGTGATCCATCGCACCATACGTGTAACTTAGAGAATCCCAATACTCACCAACAGAAAAGTAGGGTTCACTAGTTTCCATATACTCCTTTACATAACCACCCCAAAATCCCCTAACATAATCCAGCCTCCATCCATCGTACCCAATCTCTTTCCTGCACTTACCCAAGTTATAAAATTATATATTTGGCTGGATTTACAAGAATGGAGCTCAAATCTTCAAATAATCTAGTAATTGCCTTTAACTAACTGATTCAACAACAAATGCATATAAACCATCAAGACTAACCTAAGCCAGCGTAGCCATTCACCAAGATCTTTCCTCACAAACTCTTGTGAATGATCAATATTTGGAGCAGCATGGAAATTATCTCCACTACTCTTGTTTCCTCGCCCCTACAAGGAAAAGGAGGCAGAACAAGATCAAGTAATGCCAGTAAAAGCCTTTTTGTTCTAAAATGCTCAATAATATCACCATCAAAATAAATGAAAATTCTCAAAGATCATACGTGGGGACTGCATTATACCTGAAAATGCGGATCGTCCGCAACAACTGCACGATCGTCCCAATTCAATAGACCACCAAAAATATTCCAAACGCCATTTTTGTTCTGATAATGTGCACAACGATGATTTATGACTGCATCCCCGAGAACCCTAAGACCAGCTTTATGGAATTTCTTCACAAGTGCCTTCAACTCATCAACACTTCCATACCTGATCAACACATCTGAACGTCAGTCGAACTCTTACAAATCCGCATCATTCTTCACTCTGAGAATAGGAAACTAAATAAGAGGCCATTGTTTTAGTAAAATTAACAAGAATACTAATAGAGCATAATTGAAAGCACTCTTTTAGTTAACAGCTTTACGTCTACCATTATAATATGTACCTGGAGTTCAAATTATATAGATCCCGTGGCATGTAGCCTTCAGGTGAGATAGATTCTGTTGGTGGGGGCAACCAAACAATGGTGAAGCCAAGTGAGGCCAACTCTTCCACTTTTTCTTCTAGTTCCAGATACCATCTTCCAGACTTGTTGGACTCCCAATTAAATCCTTGTAACAGAATTTCAAAACCTGAACCAACTGCTGAACTTACTTTTACATGGTCCTCGACATCCTCAGCATCAGACTCGACCTCTGGTATACTTTGAACAGAGCTTCTGAAGATACCATAGGCTTCTGCAGCTAACTTTTCAATCTCTTGAAGAATGGTTTCTTGTGCCTCTTTGCCTTTTGTTTTTTGGTTTGCTCCCCCGGATATGCCAGTTACCAGATGTCTGATTTCATTGATGATATCATTAGTATATACAGAAACTTCTTGATCGACTTCCACATCACTCCCAGAGATATTATTTTCTCCGGGACCTTCTATACTTTCCTTTGGGATCGGTATGTAAAAATCATTCCCCATACAATTAATCCATGTGTCATCTTTAAGTTTCAAAACAAAAAGGAATCCTGTCGTTTCTTCATCTAATGAAAATACTCCAGAGCAGCCCTGCCCATCTTCTTTTATCTGCAAAGAAGGTGCACTAGCAATTAGCATCTACCAAATAAGTACCAACTAGTATAAACCTGAAGATTCCCGATGGTTCAATAGGTTTCAACAAACTGCAAAGTCTTGTGTGATATGTTGACTCTCACCACTACCCCTTAGAATTCACATCAGAAATGGAACATGTAATACTTTTTTCCTGTCCTTAGATAAATAGAACTTGAATAACATCCATTTTCTACCTCCAAGTAAATCACAATCCTCATTAAAAGCTACCATCATTCCATTAGTTCTTTTTTATCTTAGAACTTCATGAGCAAAACTGGTCTACAATCCAGGAAATTGGAACCTGAAGTTTTAAGACCAGGAAGGCCTTTGAACGCATCTGATTTACTCATGGGTATAATGATTAAGAAGAGAAGAAGCTTCTCTTTTAATTCCTAAACCAAAATGCAACTAATGAAGCATTTTCCTAACTCCACTTGTAATGCATGAATCTACACCATTCAAGATGTGTTCCCCTATGAAACAAGGTATGAATACTTGTTTCCTATTGTGAATATATACAAGCCTACAATGTATATGTCGAAGCCATATAACATTCAGAAACAGAAATAATCGCAACACTGAACAGAATTGGACTAGAAAAAAGATGTTTTTCTTTCTCTCTCTATTTAAAGAGAGAATTCATGTCATGATTCATGAACTAATGCAACGTCTAACTAAATGCGCTATTTTTACTGTTTAAGCTGCATCAGTCATTTCACAAAGTGATAAAAGTATATTATTGACTTCCTACTTTTTTTATTTGCACATTTTATCAAAATCCCTACATCATTAACCTTGAGGGGTTAGCTCAACCGGCAACAAGACTTGGGCCTTTAGGGCTCGTCCCAAGAGGTCACCTTTTCGAGTCCCTCTAAGGCTGAGGATTTTCCTAGCTGTTCTCCAAGGCCCCGGGATCAGTTAAGGTGCGCTCAAGCTGGCCCGGACAACCACGGCTACCCAAAAAAATCCCTACATCACTAATATACAGAAATACATGTAAAGAGCAGACAATATTGCCACCCATCATCTGCTATGTACTTCAGGTATTTATAAATTGTGCAAGAATTAGTGATATAAGCATACCGGCAATTGAGTACGCAAAGCCTTGTTCTTAAATACTGATGTATTAGCTGGATACGGTCCAACAGGAATTTCCCACTTCTTACTCTCATCCTTGCAGACTCCCCAATGAACAATAACATCACCAGGGATATCAGTTTCTATGCGCAGAAGATTACTAGATGCCTCGGAACATCTTTTCATGTAAACATTCATGGAGTTCTCAAGCAGGGTTTCTTTTATAATGTAATGCTCTTCATTGAAACTCTGAAGGCTCCTCTTTTGCTGAATAGATTCTTTCGAGTCATCGCTTTTATTTTCACCTTCGCCATCTGATTGGATCAGCATGCTGGATAACTGCCCTGAAGACCCTGTTCAAATAATAGATATGCTAACCATCTTGTTCTAGTTTTAAAAGTAACAAAATTTAGCGATCACACAATATATTCATTCTGTAGATCAACATAGAGTCGGCTTAGAAAAAATATTGTATCGTCCAACCTGGCCATACGGCAAAACCCTGTTTAGTTCCTACAGCATTGCCATCATCAGTGGAGAAAGCCATAAGTGGCACCTTAAAATCTCTCCCTCTGTATTGATACCAAGATCCAGTTTCTTCATCCTAAATCATCTCAGAGACGTGCAACTGAGTAATTAAGTGCAAAGAGACAGAATTACAACGCAAAAGAAGATAATCAACCGCTAACAACTTCAACTATTACCTTTAAGACAAAATTAATAGTGGCAATTGAGCTTTTAGTGTTAAAATCAATTTTCACTTCGTAAATTGAATCTGCTTCTGTCACTGTCGACGATTTCGTTAAAGGGGTCTCAATTGCATAGTCCTGAAAAGATGGGGAAAAACATCTTAAATATTCCACCAAAAAGCAATGAAGTGAACTTGACCAGAACAAAATTGAGTAAAGCAGATACCTTTATGGAAATAGAGTCCTCGGGTATCATCTCAACAGGAGGCTGATCCCATTCACTACAGGCATTGAATAAGAAACCATGAAAATCAATGTGATTTATGTGATGATGGCATAGGTTAAAAACATTAGGTGTAAATGGGAATCCAATGATCAACAACGACCTAACTCTTGATACATAGGATAACGCAGGGCAGAGGATATTTGAGATCATAATAGATGAAAACACATGTGCCAGTCATGAAGAACATGATGGAATCTTTTCTCAACTAGACCAAAACTATGTTATTTACCCACACATACACACACACACATATATGGAGAGAGATAAATATATTTACAAACATATGCTCATACATACATTAATGTGTGTGTGCAAATTTTAATTGTTATAAGCTTTGTTCAAAGTATTGGAACATGTACTGTAACAAGAGAGCAAGAAGAGATAACTATCACTACGTAGTCAACCAAACCTGCCAATGTCGTTGACATAAGTAACTCCCCAATGAAGAACCCATTTCCCTGGAAGGTTACATCCTACAATTAGCTGCCAGTTCTCCTCATCCTTTCCACTATCTAATCTGATTAATATCTTTCCTTCCACCTGTCAATGATATTCAGCCATTAACACACCATAAAAGCTACACATACAAGTTGGGTACAAGAAGAAATACAACAAGAAAACTTGATATAAGACTTGATATTGATATTGATATTGATATTGCATCTCTTATAAGAAGAAAAGAATAAAGGCATAATCAAAGGGATCTTGTGTTTCCATGTCCTTCAAAACTGTTATTTTGCCTTTAGTACTACTTAAAAGTGTTAGAAGTAAAAACTATATTAAAATTTGGTGCATCAATCCCGGTTATATTAGGCTTAGAGTTACTGGTCCTGTAATCTGCTTTGATACTATTTTCATCATTTCTTCTTGTTGTGGACCAGTTCTCCATTCTCCATTATATTTTATTTTATGTATCTAATTATGCCTGGTTATACTCGAGGAGAATGAGGGAGTCATCAACTTATCCCATGCTTCAATGAGCCTTGTTTACTGTTTTTAGCCTTGTCGAACCAATTTTCAATCAATTCCTGAAGTTTCAACTATAAGCTTTCAGTTGTTGATAATTCAGAGTCTGTTAGAGAAATTCCCGATAGTCCAGGGAAGCTCTTTACACTTCGCAGTTCCTCTAGGGACTCTCTTGATAGTCCTGGTAGTCTTTTGCAAATTAATGGAAGTCTAGGATAACTATTCTGGCCTCTATGTCATTTGTTAGCATGATATCCGACCTGCAACAATCTCTTGAAGTTGGTTGGAGCTCACACATCCCTGATTGCCAACTTTCTCCCATTGCTGCAAGTCTTTTGATGTAATACCATGTCATCCGAATGTCAGAGAGCCTGTAATCGATCTTGCAAGTCATCTCAGATCATGTTTTGTTGCCACTCTGGTCGACATTTAAGAATGATTTTCACATTGACATTCTTGAGGACCCATGCAGACCTTTCTCTACCATGGTGACCTGTTACCGGTTTCCTTATTTTCTCTGTCTCAAGATTGCCCCAGAAGTTCTCTGTTTTCTGCCTGAGGCCTAGTCATTTAAGATCATTTTTAAGATTCTATCACTCTTTCTCTATGTAAGTTGGCATTTACATTGTTTATGATGGTTAACAGTATTTCTTTTGTGAAAAAACCATAAGACCAATAAATTCTAAATATGGTTTCGTTCTTGTAATTTTATACTACATCCTCCATTGCCAAAGAAAAGAGCTGCAATTTGATTTTTTAAATCAAACATAGTATTTGCTCAAATAAGAGCAACTCCAATTGTAAGCTAAAATAGCGTTTTTCCGGTCTTTAAACTCTGAACTTGATTTTGCGGGAGATGGGAGAGACACGGCAAATATGCCGGCCTCCTGTTGAAACGGCATAGATGCCGTGTGCTTAGAGATGAGGCTATTGTTGGTGTCCATGGCCGCACCAATTTGCAGTTCCTTTTGGTGCTAGGGTTGGTGTTACTCTAAACTGGAATGAAATATGTTGCAAATTTGACGCCAAAAGTGTACTGCTTGTAGTTCTAGTACTTGTTATCAAAGTAGATTCCTAAATCTGCCATGAAAGAATTCACAGAACACCAAAAAAAGCCAATAGAGCAAGTATCTAAAACTTTCTGTTAACTAAAACTTGTACAAGACGCCAAATATATATTGCTCTAGACATGGAACAAAACAGAAAACTAACCACAAAGAGAAAAAGTTCCAATTGGATCCTGAATAAAAAAGAATATTATTCTCACATCCCTGCATACTTTGTTAATGCTCAATGATCCCTCCTCTTCTAATTAAGATGGTGATTTTGTTGCTCTCTGCCATTTCCTTGAGCAATAACTTGCTAGAAAATTTTGATTTAAATTTGTTGGAGAACCAAGGTCATACTCATAGTTTTTTTTTAATGTCAGTCGGTATCAATAAATTTAAATAAGTTGTCAAATCAAGTATAGAACTTCATTACTTGCTATAACTTCGTTTAACCACTTGAACAATACAATGCACTTTCAAGTACTTCGTCTTTCATCCTCCAATTTAGCCTTCCCCTCAACTAATCCAAAACACTAAAAATACATATATAAACGCGATGTTGAGTTCGAAAGAACCTTTTCGATGCGTTGCAATGGAAACGATTCTCGGAAGATGACGTCATCGGACACGGCTGCATCAAGGAGAGCGGTGTCGGAGCTGGAGCTATTAGAAGAAGCTCTTACTGTGGTGGTCGGAATCCTAGAATCAGAAGAAGGCCTGGAGTTGCAGCTGTTGGCGCCATTTTTTAGCATAAAACTCCCTTTCCTACTGTAATACAAAGAAGATTGTTTAGATTTTCTGGAATTGATGGTAAATTTAGGGATTTCTAAGCGACAACAATGGTGGAGATGAGCCCCAAGAGGAACCGTCGCCATTTTGAGGGAGGAGAGAGAAGGAAGAAGCGAGAGAGAGAGGCTGGGAGTTTATTTGTGTTGCAGGTTTCTGTTAATATTGGTTCAAACTCTTATCGTTTACATTTTACACCCCTAAGTTTCAAGATATTCAATTAAGACCCCTCGAAGATCATAACTTTTTATGGGCGAAATTTTTTGCCACATCCATAGCTTCCTAAAATAGATAAAGTTATTACCAACTTTCATCATCAAAAAGTTTCTTAACTTGTTGATCTTGATTTTAACATGTTAATTTGAATTATAAACGCTTTTGTGATAATTTAAGGGCATGACTGTTAATTTTTTTACTGTTTTTGTTTTTAGCTATCGTATTCATATTTGAATCAATAAACATGTGTTTATATTAAACTAGAGTGTGATAATTAAATGAACAAAGAATGAAATTAATGCAACTTGGGAATCGTCCAATTTTTCTACGATGATGTCGTTTTTTTTTAAATTAAAATAACCACTTGCGTTGTGACGTACTAGTTAGTCTTAAGGGGATGTAATGGAAAATTTCATCTACCCAGGTTATAAAAGTATATGTTATAATCATATTTACACCGAATTCTTTAAATGATTTTCGATGTTTAATCTTTTGCTAAAAAAACATGCACTAAGACTTTGTGAGTGAGTGATGTTAATTGCATATTGTAGTAGGCATGACAATGGGGCGGGTTTTGTAATCCCCGGGCCCCATCCCGGTTTGTAGTCCTTTGGCGGGTATGGGGATTATCATCCCGTCCTCGGTCAAATCTCTAGCAATCCCCGGTCAAACCCCATAAATAGTATCATTTAGTTTGATTCTACCGGGGATCCCGGCCCCGGTTTGAGTAACATCCCCCATTTCCGGTTTGAGTCTACTAGGGATCCCCGGCCCCGAGACCGGTTTTAGCGGGGAAATCCCCGTCCCCGTTCGGGTCGGATGAACCGGGTTCCTTACCGGGTCGGGACAAATCACCATCCCTACATTGCAGTGAGCAATACATTATACATAAAAGAAGATATTCATAATAAGAAACTGATATTTAATTTAAAAATATGTAACAAAATGATTATCAAAACAGTTTTTTCTTTTATACAGAGAAGAGACCTTTTAAAAATATCTTTACAAACTTCTGGACTCACACGAATCATGGTTGAGCTTTCCAGCCATGTCGACTGGATTGTAACCACATAAAAGACCATACAAGGTCCCACTCCCACATGATTTAATACTCAAATAATCAAGGGACTTTTCTGCAATTTTATGAAACTTGAGGGGGAACTTTTATAAAGTAAACCATCTTGCAATTGATTATTTTCTTCTCTTTGCTTGGATGTGTCGACGGTTCTTAAAAAAAACAAGTTAAAATAGAAAAAAATGCTAAAATTTTAGAGATTCGTGAAAAAATTGTTTCTAACAATTTATAAATGTGTTAAATTCTGCTTTAAAATTGAAAAAATCTTCAAATTTAAAAAAATAAATAAAATATAACATACATGTTAAATATACTTAAATAAATCTAAAAAAATTTGGAATACATCAATTCAAATTGATTAAATTGTAGTTATTTGTTTGATTAGTACATAAAATAGAATTAAATTTAATGCATTTCATTATTCATGGATTTCATCATATTATTATATATACTTATAGAATTAAAAATTAATTCGTATCTATTTTCTCAAAAAGACAAAACTACATGTCTTTGCACTCTCAGATGCTTCACAGCCGCTGTCGCCGCCGCCATCCTCGTCATTGTTGTTGTCGCCACCCCACCATCACCCTACCACCACTAACGCCACCACAACCACCATCGTAGACAACACCATCAATTATTATTATCATTAACTAGTTTTGTGCACCGTGTGTTGCACGGTAACGATAATTTTTTTTAGAAAAAAAATCAAACTAATAATGAAATATTATAATGTCAGCTCATACATATATCATTTTCTTTTATTAGAGTTATAGATTATAAATATAATGATTAATTTATTGACCTTTATATATTTTTTTCATATAGTCATCCTCACAATTGTTGATATGTTACGATCAATTCTTCTAATACATAACTAAAATTTTAAACCATCATTAAATAAATATCTTCAAAATATTAAACAAGACATTTTTTTATTCACCGAATACATAAAAAAATTAAAATTTTCTTTTTTTCATACAAAGTCTTTAATTTTCCCGCCTACATAGCAAAATCAATTTATACCCAATAAAAAACATCATTTTTTTCATTACGTATTTTAAATATGATATTATATAAATAAATAAATAAAACTTTAAACAAATTTAAATAATTTTAAGCATAATAAAACAAAGAACACATATCATATGATATAAACAATTTAATAAAAGCAAACAAATACACATACAAAAACCACATGAATATCACATTTTATTTGTTTTCAAATAAATAAATACATAAACATCATTTCAAGTGTTTTTTTAAATAACAGACAATCACATGATGTATATTGTTTTATTAATAACCACAATACAGTGAATGACATAAAAAATACAATTGAGAAACTCTATAAATATAAAAGATGAARAAGAAAATTTATAATAACAAAACTCCATATAGATCACACTTAATCATAATCTGATTGTTGTCATAAATCAAAAAATAAAAACTTGAATAGATACAAACTATTAATAAAACAAAATTACGCAAAATAAAAAGACACATAAAAAGAACACACACACACAACATAAATAACTTTAAAAAATAAGGATGATGAAGAACCATAGTCAATAAAATATAATAGAGAAGAAATTTTTGAACAAAACATTCGTCAACAACATACTACCCACACAAATCATAAATTAAGATGTAATATTTGTTACCCGGAAAAGTTTATATATGAATAACGTTCGGTATGGACAATAAAAACATTATACATAACAAAAAAAAATACACTATATAATGCATAGAAAAACAAATGTAATAGTAATTAACAAAATATAATAACATGGAATAAAAAACACTCATCAATAACAAATAACCAACACAAATCATAAACATAAAATGTAACAATTCTTACATGGATTTTATGGAGGAAGAACAACGATCTCGATGATAAAAAAAATCTTGCAAAAAAAACACAACACATCAATAACAACAAATAGCTTACATGAAAACATAAAATAAACATAAAGAATGTAGCTTCCATCTTGATTTAGACATTCGATTGTGTAGTTTGTTCAAAATCACCACTTTTATTCTTGTTTCGAACTTGATTGATACACCCTCTTAGTTTTTTCTTAGCTTTCCAAATGCAATACTTGATCGGTGCTCTCAGACACTCTATACCCCCCTATATATACCTTATGGACAAAAAGCAAAGTGACAGAAACAAACATTGATTTTTTGAGGAGTCATAATTTTTGAAATAGGCACACCGTCCGACCGATGCATAGGCAACGGTGGGCATGGCGTGCGGGGACACTAGACACTATGCTAGAAAACCATGTCGCGTGCGGGCGCCCAGCATGCGGGGAACAGGCCCCCTAGGCGTGCTTGCCTTGGGCCGGCTTGTCTAGGCATTCTTGATAGCATCATGCGAGCACAAGCCATCGGGAGTATTTCGCCTTGTCCCGGTTTGCCTTGTCGTTCTTGATAGCGTCGTACGGGGAAAAGGCACAGAGCCTTGGCCCGACTTGGCTTGGCGTTCCTGATAGCGTCGTGGGGGCACAAGGCACCGGGCATGCTTCACCTGGCCCAGTTTGCCATGGCGTTCTTGATAGCATCATGCGAGCACTAGGCGCCGACCTTGCTTGCCTTGGCGTGGCTTGCCTAGGCGGCGTGGCTTGCCTAGGCATGGCATGCTTCACCTGGCCCAGTTTGCCATGGCGTTCTTGATAGCATCATGCGGGCACTAGGCCCCGACCTTGCTTGCCTTGGCCTGGCTTGCCTAGGCGTGGCTTGCCTAGGCATGGCATGCTTGATAGCTTCATGTGGGGTACAAGGCACCGGGCGTGCTTGGCTTGGGTTGGCCCGGCTTGCCTAGGCATGGCATGCTTGGTAGCGTCGTGAGGGCACAAGGCACCGGGGGTGCTTGGCTTGGCCCGACTTGCCTAGGCATGACATGCTTGGTAGCGTCGTGCGGGCACAAGGCACTGGGGGTGCTTGGCTTGGCTTGGCCCGACTTTCCTAGGCATGACATGCTTGGTAGCGTCGTGCAGGCACAAGGCACCGGGTGTGCTTGGCCTTGGCCCGGTTTGCCTTGTCGTTCTTGATAGCGTCGTACGGGGAAAAGGCACAGAGCATTGGCCCGGCTTAGCTTGGCGTTCCTGTTAGCATAGTGGGGGCACAAGGCACCGGGCATGCTTCACCTGGCCCAACTTGCCTATGTGTTCTTGATAGCGTCGTGCGGGCACTAGGCAACGGGACTGCTTTCTCTGGCCCGGCTTGCCATGGTGTTATTGATAGCGTCATGCGGGAACTAGGCCCCGACCTTGCTTGCCTTGGTCTGGCTTGCTTAGGTGTGGCTTGCCTAGGCATGGCATGCTTGATAGCGTCGTGTGGGGCACAAGGCACCGGGCGTGCTTGGCTTGGCTTGGCCCGGCTTGCCTAGGCATGGCATGCTTGGTAGCGTCGTGCGGGCACTAGGCACCGGGCGTGCTTGGCTTGGCTTGGCTTGGCCCGGCATGCCTAGGCATGGCATGCTTGGTAGCGTTGTGTGGGCACTAGTAACCGGGCGTGCTTGGCTTGGCTTGGCTTGGCCCGGCATGCCTAGGCATGGCATGCTTGGTAGCGTCGTGCAGGCACTAGGCACCGGGCGTGCTTGGCTTGGCTTGGCCCGGCATGCCTAGGCATGGCATGCTTGGTAGCGTCGTGCGGGGCACAAGGCACCGGGCGTGCTTGGCTTGGCTTGGCTTTGCCCGGCTTGCCTAGGCATGGCATGCTTGGTAGCATCGTGCGGGTACTAGGCACGGGGCGTGCTTGGCTTGGCCCGGCATGCCTAGGCATGGCATGCGTGGTAGCGTCATGCGGGCACTAGTAACCGGGCGTGCTGGGCTTGGCTTGGGCCGGCATGCCTAGGCATGGCATGTTTGGTAGCGTCGTGCGGGCACAAGGCACCGGGGCTTGGCTTGCCTTAGCCCGACTTGCCAAACAGGTGTTTTTCTCAGCTTCTGTCCAGCAGCTATCACTTGAGTTCAACACAATTTTTGACATACCAAAAGCTTGATTTTGAGAAAACTCACAACATCAAAGTTGTAGAAATGTGTCTTAGCTTTCCATCCTAACTGGACTCATCAATTTTGGATCTGTAAGGAGGGAGATATGATCAAAATGGTACAACTGTGCAAAGCTGACAGCAAAACTCTGGATGCATTAGGCTTAACTCTGGATACATGCAGCTGTAACTCTAAAGACATTGAGCTGTAACTCTGAAGATTTCATACTTGAATAGCATAAAGTATTATTAAACAATCTAAAAAATAGCAAGTGATGTGTGTTTGGAAATCTGTTAGTCGCACAATTCTCTTTCCAAATCTCTGGTTAATCAACCGTTATAAAATTTAAAGTTTATAATGATCGTATACTTCATACATTCGATTTACAAAAAAAAATTGACATCCCGCCGCATTGCGCTTATAATCTCTGTTAACATGAATGCATATTTTAGAGCATATGGTAAATAAGCTTGATATAGAGGAAAGCAAAGTTCCAGAAATATGAAAGAGGGGCTAGATGAACAGCTGGGTTGGTAACTTAATATGAACACAGTCTCTATGTGCTTAAGCTCTTAGTTGGGTTGGTAACTTAATATGAATAGTTGCCATAAACAGATGCCATAAACAAATGTATTAGACAGTTTCATTGCTTAAGTTTCAAAAACTCATTTTCAAGTGGTCTCTATATGTTTACATGCTAATTCTGTAAATAAGAAGAAAAAACAATTAAAAAAAAACAATTCTTGTAATTGAGGATTGAACCAACAATGGAAAGAAAACACAATAGCTCTCTTGATCAACAACATCCCTCCAATGAAGAAAACACAATAGCTCTCTTGTTGCATCATTCCAGAAGCCACTGAGATATTCTAACCATAATGTAAGTTTATGCAAACTATCTTTTTGGACTAAATTGTATGTTGTAATTGAATACAGTAATCGATGATACGCTCTTCATATTGTTAGTACTTTCTTTATCAGTTTACATTATGTATATTTCAAGATATCCATGTTATGTTGTCTAAGTGATACAATAAATGCTTTTGTTACTCTTACCTTTGCAAGAAATTGTAGGATTTGTTGTTGTGATGTAGTTCATGTATATGAAGTACTTGGGCAACCAAGAGCACAAGCTCACGTAAGGGACTTCATTTACACGGTAATTGTATTTAATAATCCACTCAAGTGTTAGTAACCTATACTAATAGGCTATGTCTTTTGCATTCTCAACATTTATTCTCAAACGAACACTTTGAATATCAAATGCTTACTCACCTACTCTGTTTTGAACATGTGATATACCAAAATGGAAATATAAGAAATTATATACACAAACATCTTTCTTGTTAGAGCTTGGATTCGACTTTGTTTCTGGGTCCGAAATGGGATATTGACCATGATAGTAGGGATGTTATTCCCTTACTTCAGTTCTAATGTTTTAATCTTACACAAAATACGTAAACTGACATCAATGGCTACATAAATAATATTTTCTCGAAGATTGTGAGATTTATATATCAGAACCTTTAAGTAGTAACAAATTATATAAATAATAGTACATTGTTCATCGTTTTATCTCAAGATGATAAAGAGAGAGGGTCGTATATAGAATAGTTTAGCATATATACTTCCTTTTACATATTTGACGATCGAAAATAGTAACTTGAGCTGTGGAAAACAGTAAAAACATGCATTCCAATTGTGGTTCCATCCTTTTATGCTTCTCTCCTTTGCACAACTACTCCTTCTTATGGATGCAAATGTCATGTGGTTATCCCAGATGATGCTGCAATCGAGAAGGTAACACTGATTTCAACTTCTGAACTAGAAACTTGTTGTATGTTACTACAGGCAAACTGATCAAATTGTAAGTGCTATAATTTTTCTCTGCTGTTTTATTTGTGTGTTGTCTTTTCTTATTCTTTTTCAATTTTTAGCATTGTCTATCTTATATTCAAGTTGTATCATTTCTTTTCATGCATTTTGCACGAGCCAAGGGTCTTCAAGGAAACTAGAACTCTACTCATTGGGTAGAGGTTAGGTATGCCTACATTCCACCCTCCCATGACCTCTCCTTCTGGTAGGCCATATGGAGTTTCTTTTGTTTGGTTTGGTTAAAAGAAAGTCAAATTGTTTTCCTTTTTACGATATGTGTGCACAAAATACATTTGGACTTGATCGTATTTTGGTTAGGATAACTCAAATCAGTTCTATTATCCTAAATGGCAATTTAGTTCTCTAAGTCCTTTCACATGTAATCCTTTTGAATTCTCAACTTTGCAGGTATTTGCTACTTGCTAAGAACGCGCAAGCATTGTTGCAAGTATTTGCTACTTTGCAAGTTTTTTCTTTTAACTTCTTCAACAGTCAAGTAATATTTACATCATTATGATGTTTTGTTGTTGTTTTTCATATATTTAAGAACTTAATAGAAAATGAATGGAAGCTTCACTTTTTTTATAAATTTCTCTCTTCCCTAACATGGAAATCAAACGGTCAGCAGTATGATGTGTCATTCATCAGCTTTTACATATTGAAGCTCTACTAGCCATAGATATCGTAGATCAAAAGATGGCAGATGAATCTCAACACACACAAAGACTTGTATGTTTACCTTTTACACTTTTGAGAAAAATGCCTATTTATTTCAAGTGTTTGATATTCTTGGTCACTGTATATTGCCTATACCTGATCTCATCTTGATCTGGCATACAGGACAATCCAGCAATACTGATTGGGAAGAGTCCCAGGACAGATGTCCTTCTAAAAGCAGAGAAGATAGTACTGGATGTCGATGGCTGTGTGGTTAGGTGGCAGGACTTTACGTATCCTTTTACACCATTTGAACATTGGTACATTCATGCACATCCAAAATACATATGTGAACCTCTATTACTCGATCCTTAACTCTTTTAGCACAAAGCAGATAGAGTAATGCACCTCTATTACTTGAAAGTTGGAACTATTGAAGCTAATCTGCATCACATCATCAATCTCATCCATTATGAGGTGCTCTCACCTTTGTACCTAAATTGATCCAAATTTATGTGGTGTCTCGATTGTTCAGAGGTGAGTAATACTCAAGTATTGCAATACCAGTTCTTCTTACCTATAGGTTCTCCTGCTTTTCATTATTGTCAAGAACATGCTTTATATATCGTCTAAATGATATTTATGTACTTTAGAGTTCGAGACTAACCAGGTCAATGAGGCACTAATGTGACGATTGATCTATTATTTAGTGTAATTTTCCTTTTATGAACTTTTATCATCTTATGGTTTGTACGGTGTTTTAGGAAGTTGGCTTATTATCTCACCAATAATGTTTTCTTGCAGTTTCACCTTGGTTATTATTGACAAAACTATTATATGACCTTCAACTTTATTTTTTCATTCGATCTTGCTAATACACCATATTAAACTTAAACTTTCTATATTAGTTGACTTGCAAAATAATCACACAAACTCATGATTCAAGGCTAAACTAATGTTTCAGAATTGTGATTCATCCGTGCTAAACTAATGTTTCAGAATTGTGATTCATCCGTGCTAAACTAATGTTTCAGAATTGTGATTCATCTGTGTTGCATCGTGCGGGTACATCATTAGTGTGTGTGTGTGTGTATATATATATATATATTCATGTCTCAGTGGTTTATAGATCTCTTCTCAAGAGGTATGATCTATTTCTATATCTTGCAAACAGGAAGTTCTAATGTTGTTACTTGGAAGAAAAGAGAATATTGAATTCTGAAAATTCTGTATTAGAAGATAACATGGTTAAATCATACCAGAATAATGTCTTTTTTCTCTTTGCTTGCCTCTAGTTCATCCAAAATGTCTTGCCATACTCTTGAAATAATAAGCCATTATATATGTGCTAGACTTTGGTTGAAAGTTTAATCATTCTGGAAGAACAGAAACAAGTTGCAAGTTGCAATCATGTGTCACAATATATGACATAGAAAACTGTAAATTGAATTGCTATATAAGAAACTATTGTCAAAATTCAATCTGAGTGAACATCTTGTAGTGTGCTGAGTCTCAATTCTTCCCAAAGGATGGTTACATTTCCTAGCTCTGCGATCATGAGCTGGACTAATCTTGGATAGTGTTTCTTTACAAGAGCAGGCAAGTGATAATCATAAATTTCAATATCAAAACATAAAACAGAAAGTTAATGGAGAAAAGACACGAAACTACTAAAAGAAATATTTGATACAAAACCACTGGTAAAATGTTAGTTGTTTGTGGGAACTTGAAAACTGCAAATACTTGCTGTGTTTGTTAAGATCCTTCTCTTCCAAGAATTATTTACTTTTTTAGTCACCTAGGAATGGTGTTAGCATGAGTTAACATTCTCAATCAAAATCCCTCAAAAGATTGATAAACTTTCATTGGGTTATGTTTGTAATTTATATTGTAAGATAGCTGAAACTGAAATTCTTTTTTCAGTTTCCACCATTTCTTGTTTTAATCTCGCTATTTATGTTTATTCAGGAGAAGCAGAGGCTCTTTTGGCTAGAGGTCAAGCAACAAACGAAGAAATTGTTTTGGTGTTGGTGGCATCATTGCATTAAGGCACAAAAGAGTTAACATATGCACAGGGAATTCGTGAATCTACTGATTCAATCTCTCTCCTGCTGCTTCTTTCTCTGTTGTGTTGAAAAATGATGCTGGGAAAGATTGGCAGAACAATAAGGATGGCAACATCTGAAAGACTCAGACTTGTGGGCAGCAGACCCTTCTCCACGAACAACAAACCTACCACTGAACCGAACAAGAATGGAGAAAGGACCGATGGGTCTTTGACTCACCATGACTTGTATCGAGACCTGGATAAACTTGATTTCATGACTGCTGCCAACATTCTCTTCACCACTCCTCCTAAACCGAAGAAATTCGGGTATTTTGGTTTGCTCTTTTACTTCTATATGATTGTTGGCCAAGTTGGTACATGAAGCTGGTTTAGGCAGCTGGTCAAACGTTTGGGTTACAATTGCATTTATGAACACCAAGTCCGTAAAAAATCTTCACTTCTTGTCACCCACATTCACTTGTTGTTTGTTGAACTTAATCCTATAGGGGGGCCGGATTGTAGGAAGTGGGCAATAAGTTTTTTGGTTTTCCCATGTTACAACTTCCGTACCAATTCGGTCGAACCACTTTCCTCCTCTCTTCTTTTCTTCAGACCGATGAGGGACGTAGGAATTGCCCTTAACTATCCGGAAGGCTGAAATAGCTTTCTCGGGAGCCTCACTTCCGCATCTGTCGTATTCGAGAGTGCTTGCTTCGTGGCGAAACATTTAATGCATGGCTTCGACTCCTAATTCTACCTTTAAAGGGCTTCGTTTCGGCCAAGGAGCTGTTGTTCAAAATACAAGCTTAGGTTCAAATGAGAATCGGAAATAAATATATGAGAAGTTAGGAACCAACCATTAAATAAGTTATTCATAATGAATAACCCCAAAATATTCATGAATATTATCCAGCATGATTTTCATTATTCATCACGAATAGTTGGTTCCTAAGTTGTCAAAATATTTAGGTTTCTCATTTGAAGATGCCCCTGTTCCTATATATGCACATCTCATGTTCATACGTAGGGCTGTAAGCAAACCGAATGTTCAGCGAACCGTTCGTGAACCATTCGGCGGGAAGTTCGTTTATGTTCGTTTATTTAATAAATGAACGGACATGAACAAAAATTTTTGTTCATTTAATTATACGAACGAACATGAACAAGAGTCTCGTTCGTTCATTTATGTTCGTGAACGTTTGTTCATTTACCGTTCGTTTATGTTCGTTTATATATTAAATTTAATATATAATCTTTTGTTTATTTACTTGAATTCAAATAATATTTATTTACGTTCGTTTAGCACGTTCGTTTAGCCTGTTCGTTATGTTCGTTCGTTTACGTTCGTTTAGCATGTTAACGAATGAACATAAACGAACACGAACACACATGATTTCTAAACGAACGAACATGAACACAAAGATTTTCGTTCGTTTACCGTTTGTGTTCGTTCGTTTGTTCGGTTAAGTTAAACGAACGAACATGAACAAGCCTCCGTTCATGTTCGTTCGGTTCGTTTACAACCTTACTCATACAATATCAAGAGAGCTATGAATGTTATATGATGTAGAATATGAATTGTTCTCACATCAAAGCATCTGGTATTAGATGATGAATAACATCAGTCTTGTGTTTCAGGTTCCGCACAAAATGTAGTGATATTGTGTGTGTACTTACTAGTGTCTCTCTGATATTCAGGCTTGATTTTCATCTGGTTCAGCTCTTCTTCGTTTGTTTACCATCACTCGGTAAACATCTTAACTCATTAAGTTCAAAGTATACAATATTTCATCTTTGCAGTGGCCTAAAGGCTTATATTTCATGTATCAGCTGTCTATTTGGTTGCTCTTGTTACAATTATTATTCATTTTTTATCTCTTTTTAAATTTTTTTTGTGTCAAAATCTATGGCAGTAGTTAGAGAAAAGACGAGTTGAAGAAGCCAAGAAAACAAAGGCAGCCGAAGGGGAAGCACTAGAGTCTAATCCACAATTAGTGGAGGTGAAAGAGAGACTCGATAGCTTGGAAAAGTCTGTTAAGGAAATCATGATAGAATCCAAAACCCAACGAAACATAAAAGTTTCAKTTCAACATGAAGGTGACAGAAAACGACATGCAAGCATCCCTGTGGGTGAAAAACGCCAAAATAAACAAGAAACATATGATGCACAAGGAGGCTCAGCTTGTGATGAGAAGTAAAACACGGATGGTTGGTGCGTGAAATGCAATCGGTGTGTCTCCTTAAACCAGATATACATATTGATCCCGATTTTCGATTTTGTATGGCAACAATCCCTTTTAGTTTCTTTCTTGAGGTATTAAAATTAGCAACTTACGAGCAGGATACAAGAGTTACTGTGATGAATATAACCATATTTGCTGAACTTTTTTTGTTTATAGATAGATATAGCAACTTAAGTAAAGCTCGTTTAACTTAACGAGTCGAACTCCATAACACCAATGTTCGAATCGACTTGTTTAAAAGCTCGATTAAGCTTTACGAGTTGAGTTAAGCCGAGCCATTTGTTCATACACTTTTTTGAGTCAAACATACTAATATGTTACAAATTATATAATTAAAATAATAAAATCATCAAGCTTGAGCAAATAAAACGAGGTAACCAATCTCGAGTTCGAGCTCAAAAATCGAAAAAAATATTCGAAGTCGAGTCTGATATTTTTTTTTTGAGTCGAGTTCGAATAACCTGCTACTCAATTTGACTACGCCCGTTTACACCCTATTCATATATGGGTCTATCATGACATACCATTTAAAAAACTTTTAATGAGATGTATTCAAATAGAATGCAATCGAAGAGAACACGAAGATTTTATTCAAGTTATGTCGAAGAGTCCAACATATGAAAAAGCTACAAGTATTGGGAAACTAAATTCACGTTCGCTTCCATCAAGGAACACCGAGGTTACTCAATGACAAAAAGCAACTCTTATCCAACCGTAAACAATTTATTTGTAGCATGGACTTATATATGCCATCGTAACTTTCATTATGTCTGTCTTCATGGTACAATATATCCTGCAATGAACAAGAAAACAAATAAATACATAAGCATATGAATGCAAATTGATAATAGTTATAACATGTTTACTTACTCCCACACTTCTTTCCGACTGGTCTATTTTTGTTGTTGCATCGCTTAGGGATGCTTATTGCGATTGCAGGCTTTATACCAGCCTTTCGAGCCAATGGTGAGAGCAAGACTGCGCAAAGACATTTCGGAGCAGTCTTGATTAAAACATTTACTTTCGTACAACACATAGGTGGTACCTTAGCCCTAGCATTCCCACCAGCACCTAAACACGGGCTCAAGCTAAGTGCGGCAGACCGAATGGGTGTTCTACCGCACTCACCCGCTGCAGCGACTTCCGTGACGAAAGTCGGTGCAGCCAACAAATAGGCAATGAATAGAGTTGCAAAGGCAAAAGATGTAGTAGATGCCATTAGAGTGTAAGTAGTTTAGTTAGGTTGAGAAATGTGGAGGGGTTATTGGTGCATATAAATAGGGTAATGAGCAAAGAGAATGTGAGTGGAGTGGGTGTGGGATAATACGTGGAGGGAGTATGTGGTTGAGTTGCATTTTAAGCATATAAATTTATCAAAGGTAATGATTTTTGTGATGTTGGTGGTGCATAACGTTTAGGTGACATAAGAACACGCTACTTCATTTACTCCCTTTCTATTCTCAAAAAAAAAAAAATAAGACAATTTATCAAATGTTTATTTGAGCAAGTGTTTACCAAGTTATATTATCTTACCAGATGAATATGGTAAGAACTAAAAATCTTATCTCGTAAGAACGACTGAACGAGACAAGGAATGAGAGTCTTACCAAGTAAGTGAGGGCAATGACTCTTACCACGGTCAACTCTTACCGGATAAATTGTTGCATAGAAAGCCGTTTCTGTTGACTAAAATCTTACCCGGTAAGTAAATAATAATATTGAATTTTACCAATATGTGCTTACCGGATAAGTGTTTGGTAAACGGCCCCGAAATCTATTTTGTTTTTAAAAATCTTCATTTTCATGTTTTGTTATAGGGAAATTGAGTTTAGAGTAAGTCAAACTTGTTTACAGATATTATAATAAAGTTGGATTTATAAGATGTCAATAATTTTTAAGTGTTCTAACAGACTATATTATAAGACTTAAGTTTATAGGATCAAAGAATAAAGTGTCATATCTTATTTAAATGTGTTGTATTAAGTTTATATGCCATTTTAAAACATTTTAATAAATTTTTGACGATATTTTTTAATATTAAACATTGTCTTAGCTAGCTTGTAGGATAATTTTGAGAAATATTCTATGAACACATCTTTTATAGGATACCTGTTTTTATGAGATATTTTTTCAAATAATGTCCTATGATGTAAGCAATATGACCTTTTTTTTAACATAAAAATGTCATAAAATATGTTATTTCACCTCATAAAATCAAACAATTTTCGTCCATATGTTATTTCACCCCATGAAATCAAATGTAATTTTGGGAAATAAAAAACCTCAAATCTATGAACATACTTCTACTCTTGAAGGGGATGTGGCTGGTTTTTCTGAAGGCGACTTCAACACCGTTGTAGATCCCTATTTGTTTCCTTTAATACCGTTGTAGATTCAGATGGCGGCTTCAGATTTAGAATTGATTGGAAATCAACACCAAACCAATAAAAAGAACGAACACAACATACTAGGGCCAAATAACAGCAACTTTTCGAACATAAAACTCAATTAAGAAGGACCATCCAAAATTAAACTAAAGGAAGATTAAAGGAGACCAAAATGAAACTCAACCCACTCCTAAGAACGATTCCAGCATGAGAAGAGAGACCCTCCCGAAAATGAGCAAAAATTGAACCAATTGTTGTGGCATAGTGGTTGAGGTCTTAAGGGATATGAAGGAATATTTCATCTGTCCAGGGTTGAATTTCAGGCATACACAACAATTTTAATGGAGCTGATTTCATTCGAATCACAGTTTGTCGGGTTTAGTCTAGGCATAGCCTGGGACACCCTTCCAACAATTGTGGCCAATGAGGAAAAAATGATTTTAGGTCCAAGAAACCCAAAATAGATTATAGAATCAAGAAAAATGAGAATAAAAAGATGAAAGGAACCCAAATCGAATCTGAACATTGAGGGGATGTTTGACAAAAACGGTTGCTCATTTTGTATCTTGGGATCTTATTTGAAATGGGAAGATCTAGGATAGACGGCCAACCTCCTGGAGAAAGAAAATCTACTGCTACCATGTAATTCATCATGCTTCCTTAGTCAAAACTATTATGAGTTTTAAGGATCATACAATTTAAGAATGAGTGAATCAGTCCCTAAGGAACCCCCCTAAATGGCAGCGAACTTTCGGACCGGGAAGGAGACAAAGGAATAGAGACCTTTTACAATTTCCACTGACGAGCTTTCTCGTAAAAGCTTCCTATCTGTTGAGGATTTTCCTCATTGGATTCGTCTTACCATCATCTCCAAGCTACCTGAGTTATTCAAGCTACCAATGCGTTCCGTCGAGAGCAAGCGGTGGCCGACAAGGCCCTTTTACCTAAATCCAATAACATAGGGCAAGGGTCTGATAGGCAAATTGAATGGTTTAGTGCAAGATAATTAAGTGGTCAGAATGATTAAGAGACTCTTATGATATTGTATAAAATGAAATATGGTTGTTTAGTAATTGTTCAAAATGAAATTAGGAAGCTAAATGATTTAGGGAGACCAAAGATACAAAATCATTTTTAAGGTTTTAGAACCATTAAGAAGCAGATTTTTCTTTGCGAAACGAGATTCACCTCACAATTCAGAAGTTGCCTATTAATGGAACTATTAAGAGGTAAATAACAGTCCATAAACCAAAATCAGATTTACCTTACCAAACGAACCCTAGATAAAAAATCGATTTCCGGGTGTGTACTCACCTTCCAACATCGCCAAGTAGAGTCAACTTGAAAGTAATCATAGGTTGCAATTATGGGACGGAGGATGGCAGTAGAGAATTGAGTCTAAAGGCTGTGGAACACCGTGGATCCATGGTGTTGAGGGGAGGATGGTAGGGATATGTGGCGCCGGGGATAATGAAGCATATTTACTTAATTATTGATAGCATTTAAAAATCAAGGATGCCCTTTCACTTTTAAATTTAGTCCATAATAAACTATAAATTTCAAAATTATTTCAAAAAATTTATTGTCTTTTATGTCTATAAATTAAAATCAATAAATGATTTAGATTGGTTTTTATGGTTATCATTTGATTACGATTATATATATATATAGAGAGAGAGAGAGAGAGAGAGAGATCCAAATAAGAAGACGATCAATTTGTGAGAAAGAAAGAAAGAGAAAAGACAATTACAGACTAAAAAGCGGGAAATTTCAAAGTTAGAAGAAGAGAGATCGAGTGAGTAACTGGATATGGATTTGGAGAAATTTTGTGATTTGTGTTTGTATCTTTTAATGTAGTCAACTCATTTTGGAACCATTTTAATCATCTTGCCTTCACCTTGAAATGCACAAGTATGCACAAGTTGGGTCAAAAACCTGAGATTGATCGGAAACCGGTTAAATAGTGATTGAGTCTAGGTGTTTTTAAGAGTTTGTTTTAAAATATTGTTTTTTTTTTATCATTGAATTATGTGAGGTTGATGTTGCTTGTTGTATGTTTTCTGGATCTTGGTCGATTCCGAGGGCCTTCTCTACTACTTGCAAGGACTTGTTGTATGTTTCGTTTATGCGATAGATCTTGAATTTGATAATTATGTTGAGAACTGTGTATTTGCTAAAAAGCAATCGACTCAAATTCCGTTAGGTGTGGAATGATAATCTCAAACAAGAATTCACATTGATTCGAGGTGTTGATTATTTTCCTTACAGAGCAATAGACATCGAAGTTTCTTGGATTGTTCTTTCTCCTCTTGTAATTTCAAAAACAACAACGATGATCATTATTATGGATTAAAATACATCATCGACATTGTGGGGGCTAAAAGTAACTTTACAAACAATTAAGGGTCTCAGATAACCTTTTCAACATCATTCATCTCCAAATTGTGTTTGCTTTACATTCCTTCTATCAAATTTAAACTTTCCAAAGTCTATTCAAAAGAAACTTGCGTTCTAAAATATTTTTACGATCAATTTGAGGAATAGATAATTGTAATATTGAAACCAGTAATATGATATACTCGTTAAAATAATCATTAAATAATGTGTTATAAGCTCTTAAGAGCTAGTCACTAAACTTTTATCCGATAAGTGTTTACTAGGTCACTTTACTTTATCAGATTAATATATCATGATTGAGAATTTTATCTGGTAAGAGCAAAAACAAGGACTGAAAGTCTTATCCGGTAAATGAGAGTGATGACTTTTATACCCATAAGTGTTAACCCGATAAAAATGTTGCACATAATGTTTTTTGTTTGATTAAAATCATATCCGGTAAGTTAAGTAAAAATATTGAATTTTATCAATGAACGCTTAGTTGGTAATAAGTTAAGTAAAAAGTAAATAACACGCTGCTTGCTTCTATCAAGCGGCGGTCTTCCTCTTTTTCTCTTCACCACCACCACCTCCGTCTCAGTTTTCACCTCCACACCACCACCAAAACCACCTTTCTCAACCTTTATCTTCACCACTGATCCATCACCATCACCATCACCATCACCATCACCATCACCATCACCATCACCATCACCATCTTCAATCTTAATTTTCCCTTCAACTCTCGGCCTTCCCCTCTTTCTCTTCACCACTTCCGACTGATTTTCAATCTTAACACCACCGTCACGATGCTTCCGAAGCCGTGGCCTTCCCCTTTTTCTCTTTATCACGATGCGTCAGAGGGACTTCATAAGTGAAAGGAGACTACGGGTGGGTTGGTGGAGGATCCATGTGTCTTTGAAATTGACACGTGTTGTCTGTATATATATATATATATATATATATATATTAAAAGACCGCGAAATTAAATCCTATATTTGTGTGATTTTAAATAAATCTTAGGTTCTAAAATCCAAGAAATCTTTCAAACCGAAGATAGGATTGCAATGGAATTCAATTCTAAATCCCTTCAAATTTAATCTAATCCTACAAACCAAACGAGACGTTAGAGTCTATTTGTTTTCATGGAATAATTTTGAGGTGATTTGGCTAAGGAATATTGGTATATTTGGTTTGTCGGATTTAGAATGAAACTGAAATCATCATTTTATCTATATTATATTATAGAGCATTTGACAAAAACTCATAAAAACTATTTTTTATGCATAAAGTACTGTTTATTTATGCATATTACTTAAAATTCAAGATCACAAATAAATTGTATGTAAGTACAATTTATTAAAGTTTCATTCTTGAATTCGTGTAACTAATTATAGATAAACATAATCAAATATGTGATAAACATCTCATTTTAAATATAAACAATCTAAACTATGATTATGATGATCATAAGTTATAACAAAATACTTAATTGTTATCTTTATAAAATATTATATTATTAAACGATAAATAAATTATTTTACTATTAAATCTAAATTAAATTACGAGTAAAATATTGAATTAAAGAAATTACAAAAAATCGAGAACTTTAAATAGTAAATTTGATACTAATATCGATATTTTTTTCCTCAAATTTTTATGATATCTTTAAATTTATATTTTATTTAATAATAAAAATGTTATCACTTTCTCAAAACCACTAAAAACCGTATTATATCACATTAATAAAGAATAAAACGATACATTAAAATTAAAACAAATTTCAATATATTACATGAACATCCTTCTGGTTACTTTTAATGGTTTTATATGAAGGTTTAATTAAAAAACTAGAGGGTTCCGCAAGTTTAGGATGGTGGTCAATGATAAGTTAGGTTTTTCATCCTTCAAAAACTTTCATGCTTTTAATTTACTTTCTATGATTTTTCATTTTATACCCACATTATATTACTTAATTAATTAATTGTTAGCTAAAACACATTAAAAAATACGTACTTTTTTTTACAAATTATGTCGTTAGAAAGATCTCGTCGATACCTTCGAATTGAATCAAATATTAAATATTTTTAATGTTAACATAGATAAAAATCATCATTAAATACGTATTTTCTCGATATTTATCTTTGATTGTTTTCTTAAAATTTTCAAATAAAATTTAGCATAAATAATAAGGTAAAATCTTTTTTTTTATTACAATTTAACGTGAATATAATTTAATGTGTTTGTTTTTATGGTTAACTTTTTTGACTTTAGGGTTAACCTGTTTATATTTGAGATTAATATATTGTATCGCGAACCGATAATTTAAATCAACAAAAAAAAAAAAAAAACTAGAAATGCACCAATAATCAATTGGTTTTAAAGTTTCTTTTTGACTTAAATACTTAATCTATATTTAATGGACCTAGAGCAAACAAAATAAAAAAAAAGAGTCCCTACAATAATTTTATAATTTATTTTTAAATAATTTATTAGGATAATTATTTTGTGATACCATTATTAGAAGATCCTGAATTCTCATTGACTCTATATATAGCTAGAAAGGTACTCGCGTAATGCAGCGAGATACATATTGATTTTAATATTTTATTTTATTCTTTATTTTAGTCGATGTTATAATATGATCTTATGTAATTTTGAAAAAATGATGATGTTTTTATTTTTTCAATAAAATATAAATTTGAAGATATCATAAAATTTTGACAAAAATATATCGATATTAGTATCAAATTAACTATTTAAAATTTCATATTTTTTGTGTAATTTTTTAATTTAATTTTTTTATTATAATTTAATTTAGGTTCAATAACGAAGTAATTTATATTAGTTTAATAATATTCCTTATAAAGATAATAATTAATTATTTTGTTAGAACTCGATAATTATCCTAATTATATTTTAAATGAGATGTTTATCATCTATTTAAATATGTTTATCCGCAGTTAGTTAGACGAATTCAAAAATGAAGCTTTAATAAGTTGTACTTATGCATAATTTACTTGTAATCTTGAATTTTAAGTAATAAGCATTAATATACAGTACTTCATACATAAAAATGGTTTTTAAAAGTATTTATCTAATACTTTATAATATAGTATAGATTATATAGTAAAGATAAAAATATACTTGTAAGAAAATAAAGATTAAAAACATTTAATAGAACATAAATGGTAATATACATCCAATGAATATGATTTTATAATAATATATTTAATATAATTATAATATTTAAATAGAAAATATTTTAGAATTGAATGTGATTTTTTTGATTCTCCCATTCAAAGAACTTTATCAAATTATCTAAATAAAAAAATCTGATAATGTTTGTTTTCCGACACATTTTTTTAAACGATAAAATCCTCTAAATTTGCAGAATCGATATAAATAAACGATGTTTTAATTTCATCAATAAGATGAAAAGTATTATTAAGAATAAATTACATGATTGGTCCTTGTAGTTATGTGTTATAACATTTGAGTTCTTATTTTGAAATACCTAAGAGTAAATTACATGATTGGTTGTGGTTTATGTGTTTTGACATTTTGAGTTGATATTTTGAAACGTCTATGGATTACATCATGTTTGATTTACGATTTATAACACATTAGGTCCCTGACTCTAATTTCTTTCAAATTATCATGTTAATTCAGTTAGTTTAGAAGAGTATTTTAATCATTTAATTTATACTTTATTTTCTATTAAAACCACAAGGACCAAAAATATAATTTACTCTACCTCTCTCTCTCTTACCAAATAAATGGTCCGAGTGTCCCTTTAGTTTCAAATGTATTGTAACTTTGACCCCTTCCCTACCATGTCATCCTCTATCCATTTTTTGTCTTTTTACCTATATTCAAACCCAATTAAAAAAAATTACAGTTCATCATCATGAAAAATCACAAATTTTTTAAACATAACCTAGATCTTTGAAACAAAAAAAAAACCGCAAACCATAGATCCGTGAAAACATAACTCAGATCTGCTTAGGAAAAATCATAACAGATATTTGAATCAATGAACCCATCAAGTGAGAAATTAAGATGCGATGAAACATATTTGGATCTGATATTTAGATTAAATGTAGAAGCATATTTGGGGAGGGGTCGAATCAGGAAGAGGTAAGGGGTTCGATTTAGGGATGAAGATGTAGAGATCTAAATAGAATTCACCTAGAATGACAAAGTTATAAAATATTTAATAGAAAAAGTTGCATTAAAACAAAACCAACTTTAACCTAGTTTATATTTTAAGAAACCAACTTTTAAAATCATCATTTTAAATGTTTTTACATAAATGAAAACTTTTCATTTATTTAAGGTAGAAGCAACCTAACCATTTACCTTAATATGATGTAGCAAATCTATTAACTAAAAACATATTCATCCCCTTCCCCATTTCCTAACCATCTTCATCCCCTCTCCACTTCAAATGCCTCATCTTCTCTTCTCCATCTTTTTTATTCCGAAAAGCTATTGAATAAAATTAAAATAAACGTCATTTTATTATTTAAATAATTAAAAGTTACACTCCTGCTTGGCTGGTTATTGTTTATTTGAAATAACTTATGTTTTTTTATAAAAACATTTATCAACTTATTATAAGTCAGAAGGGTTTAACTTCTTATTACTGGTTTGATACCAGTATAAGTTGTTTATCCAAATACTCAAAAGTGTTTATTACCGGTGTCACTCTGAAATAATTCAATAATTTGTTTTCTAAACAATTCCAAACACCCCGTTATAAAAATAAAAATGGAAAATTAATTAAAAGTAAATAACACGCTGCTTGCTTCTATCAAGCGGCGGTCTTCCTCTTTTTCTCTTCACCGCCGCCACCTCCGTCTCTGTTTCAGTTTTCACCTCCACACCACTAAAACCACCTTTCTCAACCTTTATCTTCACCACTGATCCATCACCATCACAATCACAATCACCATCACCATCACCATCACCATCTTCAATCTTAATTTTCCCTTCAACTCTCGGCCTTCCCCTCTTTCTCTTCACCACTTCCGACTGATTTTCAATCTTAACACCACCGTCACGATGCTTCTGAAGCGGTGGCCTTCCCCTTTTTCTCTTTATCACCTCCGCCTCATCTTCACTTTTCACCTTCACACCACCACCATTACCATTTCCAGGTTTCTCAACCCGTGGTCTTCCCCTCTTCCTCTTCACCCCCTCCATATTCGCCGGAGTTTCTTTCCGATTACCATTCTCTTGTTTCCCTGCTTTTTTGTTCTTGAGCACCTGTGCTAAACTCAACACACCTTCTTCCTTTATGAACTTAAATAGGCAGATATCACCTTCTGATAAGTTATAATACTGCCGGAAAAGCGACCAACCTGATGATAGACTATGTCTGTTGTGGTATTTTTCGACCAACAACCCCATTATCCACTCTTTCCCCTCATGATCCTTCATCCTTATGCCGCTTCTGTTCTCCAGTTCCGCCGCCTTCACAAACTTCTGCGGCAACGTCTACAAAAACAACAACGACAAAGCTTACATTTAATTTATAAAAAAAAAGATGATGATATAAGAAAAGTATACAACCAACATCACTGTAAAAATCCCCAAACCACACAATTGTAGATAGATTAACAAATCTAAAGAAATGTGAAAGTGTTTTTACCATGGTATATCTGTGGGATTTCTCAGATATCACCTTTTGAAAGCAGAGATTCTCATTTGGCATAACTTCATCACCATCATCTTCTTCATCTGACATTACTTCATCTACATCATCAGCATCACCTGAAAACTCTTGAGCAAGAGATCCATCATTCAAGACCCATTTAATTTTTATAATTGTGCAATATAGGTACACAGATAGAGAGAGATAAACCCAACTGGTGTTATTTAATGGGAGGTCTTTATCACATCCATTTGCATCAAAGAATGCAACTTCGAAGGTGAAAGGATCAATTAGTGATACGACAACAATATCCATTATACGCAATTGGGCATCCTTCGCCAATTTCTCCCATCCATCGGAGAAACAGTAATCTTCACCGATCTTTTTGATCTTCAATCTCCAAGAACTTTCCCCTGTTGCTGTCTTGAGTATTGGGGTTTTAGGGATCTTCTCCAAATATCTCTTCACAAAAGCAGTTGGCAACGCCTGTACATAAAATTCATCTTCAAATAAATCTATATACATACAAAATACTACACATACATGAAAAGGATAGATGGATACCAAATGAGGGGCAGAAGGGCAGCGCACGACCTTGAAGAAGGAAGGAGGACCCTCTTCACTGCTTTCAGTAGTCATTTGCAGTCAATTGAAGAAAAGAAAGTGTGAATTTTAGGTATTAGGGTTCCAAGGAAAGGGGTAAAAAATGGTCCGCCTGGCTGTGTAAAAGCTAAACAGTTGCGACGGAGATGGAGACGGCAGTCACTGCCGTTGACAAGAACCGACGGCGATGCTGATGGAGAAGGGGAAAGAGAGAAGAAGCGGACGGCGGTGGCAGATGGGAAGCTACCGATGAAGCGGAACCACGTGCAGATGAAACAGCTCGAAAGATTCGGAGAGAGGACAGTGAAATTTTTGGGGTTTTTCTGTAACTATTTTGCAGCTGAAACTGGATGCGTATGCATATGAAAAAAACAATTCTTGGTACATAATAAAAAAAAATGCACCAAAAAAGACAGGAATCTATATACATTGCTAAATACATTTTTACTTAATATTTTCTTTTTCATATATATTAATATTAAAATCTATTTTTTATATTTTTAATACAAGACTTTACCTTATTATCTATATTATATTATAAAACATTTGAAAAAAAAATTTAAAAACTATTTTTTATACATAAAGTATTGTTATTGATGCACATTACTTAAAATTCAAAATTACAAGTAATGTAAGTACAATTTATTAGAGCTTCATGCTTGAATTCGTGTAACTAACTACAGATAAACATAATCAAATAGAAGATAAACATCTCATTTTAAATATAAAAAATCTAAAATATAATTATCCTAATCATTGAATTTTAACAAAATATTTAATTATTATATTTATAAAAAAATATATTATTAACCAAAAAAATAAATAACTTCGTTATTAAATCTAAATCAAATTATAATAAGAAAAATTAAATTAAAAAAATTACACAAAAAAAGTATAAACTTTAAATAGTTAGTTTGATACTAATATCAATATATTTTTTTTCAAATTCTTATGATATCTTCATATTTATATCTTACGCAGAAGTAAAAACATTATCATTTTCTTAAAACTACATAAAACTGTATAACAACATCGAAGAAAGAAACAAAACATTAAAGTCGAGATGTGTCTCACTGCATTGTGTGAGTACCTTTCTAGTGATATTAAAAGAGTGCAAATAGAGCTACAATGGTGGTGTCTGATTGGTTTGAGTTTGACTCCAAATGTCAAAAGTACCAGGAGGTCTCAGGTTCAAATCCGAGAAGGAATGAAAATCCCCTTATGGCCATGAAGGTTCAAATGTGGCGACTCCGGGCTATCTACAAAGCAGATGATCGTTCTAGAATTATTCGGATCGCATAACGGGTTGGATATCCAAGTTAATAAAAAAATTAAAAAAAATATTATCCTAAAAATATTAACTATGGTCAATTGAAATATTTGACTAAGTGGTAGGTAAATCTACCATAAATATCATTAAATGCAATTCTATATATTAATTTACTTTTTACATATTAAATTAAAACTTATCTTTTAGACTTTACATTTCAATTCATGATTTAACGTAATTATGATATAAAAAAAAAGAGACGCATATATTATCAACCTTGATTAAATGTATATTGAGATTTGAAAATATTAAAAATATATGTATATTGATGTACATAAAAGTGAAATTGATAGCAAATTTTAATTTAGTAATAAAGATTTATTTAAGATATTTTTTACCAAAATATAAGTATCTTCAACAGATATATTATAATAGAATTTTTGGTGACCTAAAAGAGTTTTGTGCTCTAAGCATATTGTATTGTAGAAAAAAGAAGAGAAAGAATATGAAAATCCTTAAATTTAAAGAAATCTTTAAAATTATATATATGAGATAGAAATGGTATTTTGATTATTTTCCACCAATAAGAGGTGTTAAAAATAAATGTTTATGAGAGAGAAATAATATTTTATAAATATATTAAATATTTTAATCATATAAATAATGTTCGAATTGCTAAAATAGAGTAGTTGTTGGAATTGAATATAATTTTTTAGAGATGTTTACTTTCTAATTCTCTGATTTTGAAACATTATAACATATTTGTTGTAGATGCTCGTAATAGCAATGTTAGAGTAGAGATTTTGAAAATTTAAGATTCTCTTTTTGTTCCAACAGCTTTATTAAAGTATATGCTAAAATTAATAAAAGTAGAATTCTTCAAATTTGGAAAAATCTTTATTACTTAATATTTATGAAAGATATATTATTTAAATTGTTTCCATCAATAAATTTATATGTATTATAAAGTTTTTTTTTTTTTAAATACATAAATCTCTATAATTTAATATTAAGAATAAAATTATATTACTTTATTTATATACTTCAATAAGGTTGAATGTATTATAATTTTTTATAAAAATATCTAAAAATGTATCGAGATAATAAAATTATAAAATATTTTAATTATATAATTAATATTGGAATTATTAAAATAATATTACCAAATTTCATGAAATTTATTTCAAGCCACATAAGGCTCATGGTCTTGAAATGTTTTGGCCCAAAGCTGAAAGCCTCATCCAAAGGTTTGTTTGTTTGTTTTTATCCAATCTTGTATTTGTATAGATTAGCAAATACTTATTGTTTATTTTGTGTTTTAGATATAATTTAAATATTAAAAATTATCATTTTAATTCTGTATATAAACTCAATTATACAAACAAACCCAAAATCACATAACTAAAATAAAGGGTCGTTTACCAAATGCTTACCCGGCAAGCGCTTACTGGTAAAATTCAAAATATCACTTTCTTACCTGGTTAGATTTTAGTCCACCAAAACGGCATCGGATGCAATCACTCTTACTAGGTAAGATTTTTGGTCTTTGTCATATTCATACGGTAAGGTAATGTGACTTGATAAACACTTACCCGGGTAAACATTCGGTAAACGGCCCCTAAATAACAAACCACAACTGGTTGTGGTGTAGAGGTTGAAGCCTAGGGGATGTGGTGAAATATATTATCTGTCTTGGGTTCGATTCCAAACGGCAAAAGATTGTCAGCGGACTGATTCTGCTATATATATAAATTTATGGGGTAGTATTTTCATTTCTTAAGGGATCAGGGATGGTTATTGCACAGCATAATTTCTACAGCATATTCTTCTCATGTTCTTTTCCACTAGATGGAAACTAGCATATTCTTTGTACGTTTGGAACCCAAATATGTATAAATTTATTTTAATTAAATATTTCATAATATCTTTTCACAATAAAAACATTATTATTTATTATAAAATAAAATTGCTATAATAAAAAAATCATTCATTAATTAAAGACCACTATAGAAATGCTATTTTCATAAGAAAAAAAAATTGATTAAATTCATATTTTATAATGTTATTAAGATCTTCACCATCGTTGTTTCAATCCTTGTTCATATCGTATATCAATGCTTAACATGTGATAACAACCACCGACGCCCTTTCGATTTGATCGTGCAGTTCCAACCAAGGTATCCCATGGTTCCTACTAGCGGTGTTGATAAAAGACGACTGATGGAGAAGATTGCCTGGACAAGATTTGACAACGTTTAAAGCATGGAGGAACCGCTGCTGCTCCGTCTTACTCTCACCCCCGCCACCAAAATTCGTCGGAGATAAAGGAAACAGAAACAACATAAGCCTCACCAACTCCGCAAAAGTACAAAAAATCCGATCATATTATTTCATCATATTAAGGATTTTTGAAGGAGCTGAAGTTTATAAACAAAGATTACAGGGATTGATGACAGTTGTTTGATTAGATGCCACAACTTTCAACGATGTAGTAAAAGTAAAAGAAGTTGGGCTGTAACAAAAAACCCTAATAATGTCTTTTTATTTTAAATTAGATGTGAGATTAGACATAAGTTTTACTAATATTAAAAAAATAACACCATATTTAATGACCTTTAATTGAAACAATATAATGATTAAAATTAATCTACATGATACTTAATTCTTTTATAATTCTCACTTAATTACCATTATATATATACACACACATATTTTAACACATAGAGGGCGTTTACAAAACAGTTACCCGATAAACACTTACCAGTAAAATTCAAAACTATCACTTACTTACCGGGTAAACTTTTAGTCAACAAAAACGGTATCGTATGCAACAATTTACCCGGTGAGTGCTAACCATGGTAAAAGTTATCGTCATCACTTACCGGGTAAGACTCTTAGTCCTTGTCTTGTTCTTACCGGGTAAGATTCTTGTTTCTTACCATATCATTCGTAAGATAATGTGACTTGATGAATGCTTACTCGGATAAGCGTTTGGTAAACATCCCCGTAGTTTCAAACTTAATTGAAACAAAATGGGGTTCATGCAGCAACATTGATCCAAAAATGCGTTCATAAAATATGTTTGATGACACGTGTTTTAAATGAAAAATATTAGAAGTAATAAGAGATATAATTAATAAAAAACGGAAAGTGTTTTTTCTTGACCTTTGGGAAAATCAGCGGCCAATAAATGACAAGGTCATGAGCAAAAGAGGATCAACGGTCCAGAAAGTCCGATGGAGAAGAGAAAGCCAACAACTTCCCTCCGATTCAATTTAATCGGCTGAAAACCATAAAACCGATCATCTCTTCCTCTCTTATCACTTTTTTTCTCTCACATTTCTTCAACAACACCACCACAGATGGGGAAAGGTCCAGGTCTCTATCCCGATATCGGCAAAAAAGCTAGAGGTAATTCTAACATTTTCGTTTTCTTTTATCATTCGTTTCTGGTTTTACATGGATTGTCAATCTGTTTATCTGTGATTCGACTTGTATACTGTTGTGATGTTTTTGTAAAAACTTGTTGAAGAGACTTTTTGTTGATTTTGCTTCGATTTCGATATCTGCTACAAGTGTGTGTTTGCATATATTGATTCTAGAATCGGTGCTTTCAGATCTTCTATACAAGGATTACCAAAGCGACCATAAGTTCTCTCTCACCACCTATACCGCCAACGGAGTTGTAAGCTCGCCTTCTCTCTGTCTTTTTCTTCTTGTGTGTGTGTGTGTGTGTGAATATAATTTGAGTATGAACATAGTCACATAGAGTTATGTTATTGTTTCTGGTTTTCGTATGTGATAGCTTGCTGTTTCTTTGAGGATAAGAAGCTTAGGAAGGATAAAAACTCTATCCAAGTGTTAAGGTCGATTATTATCAAAATGATAGATAATATGCACAATTACAAGTCAGGGTAATTGCATTGTTCATACAAGTATATATCTTTATGGTGTATGTTTCGTCTCTTACATTGTCTATTGGAGGTTGTAGGCATGTAAACAACCTATAAACATTGAATAGTAAACAACCCCATAAATAATATATGATAACAACTGTTTGTCGGATTGAATATTGCTGCCACGCTAATGGTCTAGGACAGTTTAGAGAAATGCTAAAGAAATTATAAATTTGTGGTGTTGGCAATTATAGGTAATGGAGAAATTTCTCCAGAAGTTATATCCTTGGAGTGGAATATAGCTTTTACTTGGGGTTGTGAAGAGGGCTGCTATTTTATCTAGTATCGTATATACATATTCTAACTGCCTTAATTATTTATGTTCGTTTTTAGGCATCACAACTTTTTTTTAATATCTAATATTCATATGGCACCTATATTTAAACACCCCTGCTTCCTATGACGTAAATATTTGGTTTCACTGCTCTCATATCATTAGTAATTTCATAAGCTGTTTTGATATGTAAATAGGGTCTCACGTCAAGTCTTAAGATGACTACTTTCATCAAATGTGTTTGTCCAAAAATTTAGATTTTCTCTAGTAGCTTTATCCGGAGTGATTATGCAAAGCTTATTCTAGCAATTTCGAAAATTGGTTTGTCCCTTGAATAGACACTATCAACTGTAGGATGTAGATCAGTAGATGATAGAAACGAATACCTGATGAATAATTGGTGTAGACCTGCATGAAAGTCTCTAATGCTGTATGTAATTATGGGTTTTTGGCCAAGTGCGATTATAAGCTGGAACCAGAGTTGGCGTGCTTTCTCCTATTCTAAAGCTGTTTCTGTGGTCAAATGTTTCAAGTGATTATTTGTGTATTGTTTGTGCATATTCTTGAGCTGCAACTGTTTAGTCAATTTGTATTTGTTGTTAGTGTTGAAAATTTAATATTGTACCCAGATCTTTTTGATAACACCATTTTCAATAAGCCGAGGGTCTTCATAAAAACAACCACTCTACTCTTTGAGGTAGCGGATAGGTTTGTTTACATCTCACCTTTGGACCCTACTTCCAAGTGGGACATACAGGTGTGTTTGGTTTGGTTTGAGAGAAAGCGCTTTAGTGCAAGAAGTAATGCCTATTAGGAGGTGATCACTGTCATAAAAGTTGGACATGAATGTCTGAAATTTTAGTCTTGCTTCTTTACATAGGAAAACCATCTAAATCTTGGTCATGCCAATTTGCTTTGTTAAGTAACTGGTAGCAAGTTATGGGTGCTAGAGCTTGTAGTTGTAGCATAATCATCATTTCTCTCTGTCACTCATTTCTGCCAAGTCAAATTTGATATGCATGATCTTGCCTGCTTGATGTTTCATTTTTGGTATTCTAATGTCTTGTATATTTCAGGCCATTACTGCATCAGGAGCTAAGAAAGGTGAGTTGATTTTGGCAGATGTCAACACTAAACTGATCAACAAAAACATCACGACTGATGTCAAAGTGGACACAAACTCAAAGGTAAGTAGCATAATTTTATTCAATCACTTCTATGTTCGATAGGAAAGTTCTACCTTTCGTGCTAATACATGTTTGATGTCAACATTGATAGAAATTAAGATATATGACAACCAAGCCCTCGAGCTCTTGTTTATAAATCTTGCATTTTTTAAGGCATGTAACAATTTGACCGACTATATGGCAACCATGTAGCTATGCACAACTATCACCATCGATGAACCTGCACCTGGATTGAAGACCATCTTCAGCTTTGTTGTTCCTGATCAGAGATCTGGAAAGGTATCTATTAAAGCCCCTCAACACTTCTGTTTCATCATGAATGTGTATTTGAGGAGCACCAAGGCTTATGCAAGTTCGGTAACAGGTTGAACTTCAGTACTTACACGAGTACGCAGGAATCAGCACCAGCATCGGTTTGACTGCTAGCCCCATTGTCAACTTCTCTGGTGTGGCCGGAAACAACACAGTGGCACTTGGGACTGATGTTTCTTTTGATACCGCATCTGGGAACTTCACCAAATATAATGCAGCCCTAAGTTTCTCGACTTCTGACCTCATTGCATCCTTGACACTGTGAGTAGTTGACAAATTACCACACATCATTGTCTTGCGACTTTCAAATCTTTATCGTTCCTGACTTTCTCACTTTGCACAAACTGGGGGTCTTTACGGCAATAACCACTTTACTCTTTGAGGTAGAGGTCAGGTCTACTTATATCTTAGAGCATCTCCAATAAATTCTCTATAATATCTCCAAAATGGAGAAGAAAATATTATAATAAATAATATTCAACTCTAACAGTTTCTCTATTGGTGGGAACAATCAAAAGCCATTTCTCTCTTTTTCAACATTTAATTTTAGAGATTTTTATACTCTCTCTTTGCTTCATCCATTTTGGAGAATCTGTTTGAGCAAAAAAAGTAGATTAAAAACTTCAAAATCTCCATGGAGAATCTGTTGGAGGTACTCTTAGGGGCTGTTAGGATCATTTTCCATTTACCTGTACAGATAAAGTTGTCCGTATTAATAAGATTATCCGTGTGATATAAGATAAATTGTTGTTCTATTGTAGTGCTGAATAAACAGTCTGAATGATAAAAATGACTATTTTACTCCTAAGCTTTTATTGATAAAAATAATTGTTTGATAAATTTGATTATTTTACCCGTAATATATTTATTATTAATTATTATTATTGTTATTAGAGATTTAGAGTATACCTACCACATAACCACACATCTCCATCACGATGAAACCTACTGGTAAACTTCATCTTCTTCCATGCCTCCATCCTCCATTTTTTTTACCTTTCCCAACCGAGAACTGTAGCTCGCCTCCATCTCTAGCCTCCCTCAACGTCGTTGCTCTACCCAATATCAAGCCCTTACGAGACCCAGAAAATCAAACGAATCTAGTAAGTTGGTTCAAAATTGAGGGTTTTCGTCTAAAATATTTGCAACAAATCTAGGTAAGTTTTCGTGTTTAAGATTCGATTAAGTGAATATTGTTGCTTACTGCTATGTGTGCGAGCCGAATCGTACAGTTAGGCTTGAAGATAACCAACTACACTGTTGCGACCAATTTTTATTGCTATTGAGCTTAATTTCAACCCCTTACGAACCCAGAAAATCAAATGTCGTTTGTGTTTTGGTCGAATCAGGGTGGAGATTACGGTGGATTTAAGGTGTGAGAGGGAGGAGGGTGTGGTGAGTAGGTAGTTACCTAGAAGAGTTGAACAATACTTGAAATGTGAAGGGCAAACTTGGAATAAAGAGATGAATAAATGGCTGAGTCCATAGGACTCTACTTTTCTAAGCTATCGGCTGGCTGAATAAGCCTGAATTGAACAACAATGTATGGCTGACCAAATAAGTCATACAGGCTTAACAGCTCATTAAGCCATTACCAAACCTCAATGGGATCTACCGGTTCTGGTTTGATTTTGTTTCTTTGCTTTGTGACTGCATTATGCTCTCATCATATTTGACCACGTTTTGTGTGTGATTTGTGCAGGAACGATAAGGCGGATAGCGTTACTGCTTCCTACTACCACACAGTAAGCCCATTAACCAACACAGCAGTTGGTGCAGAGTTGAGCCATGGTTTCTCGAGCAACGAGAACTCTCTGACCATCGGAACACAGCATTCGCTAGACCCATTGACCACAGTGAAGGCTCGGGTGAACAACTCTGGGATAGCAAGTGCTCTCCTGCAGCACGAATGGCGGCCAAAATCCCTGTTCACCATATCAGGAGAAGTGGACACTAGGGCAATTGAGAAGAGTGCAAAGGTTGGACTGGCTTTAGCTCTAAAGCCTTGAAAGAGCCACACACGCTTTTGTATGATGCGGAGAAATAAGGTGGGTTGATGCAAGATTTTTCCCATTGAAAATGTTTGCACTATTTTGAGGACCATGTTTATTTTGTGGTTTACGAATTCTCCATTGATTTATTTAAGGAGATACATTGTCCAATTGGGTTGATCATTATCCTTTCACTCTCTCTAAAAGACTCTTCAACATTATGACGAGAAAAATGATGAGTTTGTGACAACAATTCCATCTCTAAATATACATTTTAGAGTTTAGGTTGTGTTTTTGTTTCAAAGGCTCGTTTTTGAAGGGAACTATGTTTTTATTCCCTGTGGTTTTATTAAAAGTTATGATTTTCGTTTTTACTTTTTCGAAATTATAGTTTTTATCCTTATAGTTTGTAATTTATTGTTTTTTAATTCTGGAGGCTTCCATCAATGGTTTATCAGTAAGTATGAGGGATAAAAAAAATATATATAAACTATAAGGACGAAAACAACAATGAATTATAAAGCAAAGGGTTTATTTAAAAAAAAACATCGTTTTTGTAGCAGAAACTGTTTTGAAATGAATGCGAATGCCATGATCACTCTAAATTCATCACAACAACATAAATTCCACATCTGCTTCTGTTGTTTCTTATACTGCTTTAGACAATTACAACTACATTTAGAAACAAAATTAATAATAATATTAATACTACGAAAACGGACCCATACCCCTTTCTCTATTGCTTCTCATTCGGCTTCGGTGAGTTCTGCTGGTGGTAAGGTGAAGCCCGTGAGCTATTCGATATCGAGAGACTTCTCGGATGCTGTTGTCCGTTTCTCGAAAACGACCCACCTTGAATTCGAACCCCCGTTCGTCCGTTTGGGCTTGACCCAACCCGTTCAGATTGGATAGTCTGAAAGTAATATGATGAGCTCGCCATATCCTTTAGGGCTGGCAGTGGCTTTAATGATTCAACAACCTCACTCATCAGGGGTCGGACTTTCGGGTCCCGACTCAGGCAACGGGCTGCTAGCTGAGCACTTTTTTGGGCTCCCTTTACAGAGAAATGGCCTTCGAGTCGAGGGTCTATTAGCCGATAAAACCTCCTCCTCTCTCCTAAATGCGGTCGAGCCCATTCAACAAGGTTGTGTTCACCATTTGGACGGTTTTTGTCCATTGACCTTCTACCCGTCAACATTTCAAGCAAAACGACACCAAAACTATATACATCACTCTTTGCAGTCAGATGTCCTATACCCCAAAGCGGTCCAAATGTTACGAGAAAAGAAACACAGAAAATTATCAAAGATTAAAAAGTTATGAGAAAGTTCAAATCAGAACCTGGGAACTAATTATTTCATGAATTAAATGACCCAAATATCATGCTTTTTCATCATGAATATCTATCACGATAGCGTAATGCATGAAAGTTGGGTTGATGGTTCTCAAAATATTTACGGTTCTCATTTGAATCTGCCCCCATAGAGTTATACCTGTCATGACATATTCGGGGGCTGCATAACCATACGTTCCCATGACTCGAGTAGATACGTGAGTTTTATCACCCTCCGGCCCATCTTTAGCAAGACCGAAATCAGAAAGCTTTGCATTGTATTCCTGGAAAGATTCAATCATTAATAAGACGAGACGAAGTAAAATGGAATCAAGAAATGGTGCAAGTTGGAGTAGTCTTGTGTCACATACCGCATCTAACAAAATGTTGGAGGTTTTGAAATCACGATAGATAACGGGTCTTTTCGCTTCTTCGTGAAGAAAAGCAAGGCCTTTTGCAGCCCCGAGTGCGATTTTCATTCTGATGGACCATGGAAGAGGCAAAGACCCTACAAAATATGCACATTGTAAGAACATCACCACAAACAATGGATTTAATCACGAGAGATGTTGCAATGATACAAATATACTCCCCCATCCCAAAATAAACGTCCACAATGTAAGTGATAGTTGTTACACTTCTTAGTTTACCAAATGACAACTTTACCCTTAATTAATTTCTCTCTCTTCACAACTCTTAAATATTGGTAGATTTGAGAATTTAGTCATCTATTTCTAAAACTAAGATACTTATTTCGGGACAAATATATATACAAATGTGGACAATTATTTTGGGATAAATATATATATATACAAATGTGGACACTTATTTTGGGATAAATATATATATACACAAATGTGGACCCTTATTTAGGTACAGAGGGAGTATATATATAGGTAACCATGCGTGTCCAGGCCAACTTATGCACACCTCAACTAATCTATGGGGTCCTGAAAATAACAGCCATGAAAATCCCATGGGGCCCTAGCTTTTCTTTGCCAGTTGAGCTGAGGTTATGAGTGCAAGAATATGGGTGCATGGTAAGTAATTGGAGATCCCAAAAGATGAAGGATATAAAGGTGTACAAGAGAATGAAATCACATCCATAGTAAACTAGATATATATATGTGTGTAGGCTAAGGACCGTGTGAGAAGGGAAGTTACGATGAGAAGCGTAAAAAGAGATCTGAATCATTGATCACTTCTAATCTCATGCCCACCCATAAATTGCGCTTTAGAAGGGAATTGACCTGGTGCATATCGGTGCACCTCATCTAGTGTTGACATTCAATTAGGATTGATCGGAGGGTGGAGATATCTTCTTACGCTTCTCACCATAACTTCTTTTGTCACCGGAACCCAACCCTATATGTATATACATACAACAAGCACATATTTAAGATTTGAACGTTCATAGAAGAAATATAACGTGTTGGCTTGTTCTCTTGCCTCCGTTTTGTCTCTATTTGGCAAGCAGCATAAGTTCTACTTCAGATTTTTAGCATCAACTGCAAAAACTCATATATTTTTTTATTTTGAGAAGCAACCTCTCTATCCCTTGACCTTGAGATACCCTCCGACCCTATCAGTGTGTGGATATTGAGTTTGGTTTTCAATTTTCACCAAAATTACCCATCTTGTATCAACTCTCAAAGATACAATCAAGGCCTCACCATGCGTGCACCAAAGATGAGGATTCGGCAAGCGGGGTCTTTGGTCATCAATGCAAATTATTGATTGCAATTGATTTTGATTCACAAGATCCCTTGTATTTTTGCTCTTGGAGGGTATTCAAACATTTTTGTTAAATTATGAGTAAAGAGAGTATTCTACAAATACTTTCCACTCGAATCAAGAAAACCCCTATTGAAACAATACTGTCATATCATCTACCCTTGAACCATATCTCCTCGATATATATTGAAATTTCCATTCTTTTGGAAAGTAATATAAAGGGTTCCACATGTTCTCCCATCATGATATCAAAGCCAAGGTGCCCTGTTTTAGGGGCTCCACAGTTTGGACAAACTGTACCCATCTAGCCTCTATTAGAGGGGGCGTGTTGGAGTCCCACATCGGCTAGCCTCACCATTTCTCCTCAACATATATATATATATATATTAGATTTTTCATTTCTTTTCTCAATAGCTTTTTTGGAGAGTAATCTAATGCGGTTCCACATATTCTAAAGCAGGTGATATAAATATTCATTATTTTTGGTTTTTTGTGTTTATTAACATTGTGTAAATAACAATATGAGGGGGGCAAGAAAATCAACTTACTTCTAAACAAATGATTCTCCAAGCTCCCTCGAGGCATGAACTCGTATGCTAACAACCTTTGATCATCTTCAATGCAGTAACCAATCAATTTAACCAAATTCGGATGAATAAGATCACCTAGATAATTTACTTCTGCCTGCCAATAATACGAGTTTTCAGAAAGAAAAAAACTTTAAGTCCCAAGATATCCAAAAAAAAAGCAAAACAAAACAAAATGGATAGAAAGTGTCCAMCCAGCCACTCTTTATGGCCTTGAAGCCCATCATGATTGAGAGTTTTAACTGCAACAGTAAGTCCCGTGCCAGGTTTCACGGGTGCAGTTCCGTTCTCTTCAATCCATCCTTTAAATACACACCCGAATCCCCCTTCACCAAGAAGACTTTCGGGTCTAAAGTTCCGTGTTGCCATCTTAAGATCATTAAAAGCAAATTTGCGTAGGCGTGAAGCAACTTTGAGTTCCTCTTCTAATTTTTGTGTTGATGAATTGCTTTCGCCGGTGCTTGTGGTAGTTGAGGAGACTATTGGAACCACCGGTTGATCTTTGCTTGTATCATTTATTGATTTACTTTCTGCTGCCACGCAAACCAAACAGTAAATGAGAGATGCAAATAGTTCGCGGATCCAACTTCAAATAACAGGATGATTTAATATTGTTATGCCCCAAACCTAAAGCAGCAGACTAGCGCAACCCAAGAACTTTGAATTCAACTTAAAACCATGGTAGAAGTTATTGGTAGCCTATAACTTTGAACTTGTAAGGAGTTCACTAATCTACTTCTATATCCATGTGGGACATGTCGTTGCAAACTCTTCCACAATACATTAGGACGTCAAGCGTTCCGGAATGTTCCTTGTAATCGATGATGTGGGATCCTGCCCAATGAGGTTTGCCACCATATCGATGGTACAAGAATCAGCTCTGATACCATTCCATTTATAACACCCTAAACCCCAAAGCAGAAAACTGGCTCAATAACCTCCAAATCAACTTCAAACCATGGTGGAAGTTATTGGTATTAACACTTTGAGCTTATAAAGAGCTCACCAATCTATTCTTCTATCTATGTGAGACGAGTTGTCACAAATATGCTTGCATTACCTATTTAGGGGAAGGTTCAAATGAGAACATAAATATTTTAAGAACCATGATGAATATATGCACCAATGCATATATATATATATATATACACACACACACACATTGATGAATATATAGATACATATTTTATTAGGTAGATGCATCAACATATAAATATATATGAATATACTGGTTCTCATTTGAACTTTTCCCGGCCAGTTTAATGTTGAAAAAATGCATATGTATAATGTATCACGCTACCCTCGCACCATTGATTCCTATACCCAAACCTAACACTTCTCAAATGCTAAACTAATACCACTTCTCAAAGGGTTTCAGAATTCATATGAATCTTGAAGTTATAATAATTCATCCCAAATAATGAAAATGTAACTGCAAAAGTACTCAGTTTAGCATCATCTAACCAGCTGCCAGATGATCAAGACAAAACCTAACTTCGATCACAAACTCCAGCCTAAACCTAGTTCAAGATTTCTTGATGGAGCTCAAGTCACTGAGCCTCCAAACAACATTCTTCTGGTACAATTACCATGTACCATTTAACCAACTTCAAAGTAATCACAAGCATGATATCAACAAAAAACAAGCCACTAAACATGCAAGAAACAATCAGAAAATTGAAAGAATTACCACAGTGAGTAGTACTTATGCCACTGATTGAACTATCAACTTTAGATCTTGAAGAAATACAGCTCCCAATAAATTTCCACCTGTTCCAACACCCAGCTCTAGTCCCCTTAATTTCATCAGTTTTCTTATGCTTATTCCCTTTTGATTTCACAACATGCCAAGACTCCTCACCTTTTTCATCACCAGATTTCATCTTTCAAGAACAAACCCTAAAATCAAACCCAATGGGTATCATCAAAATCCCCAAATTTCAATAAATAAACAAAACCCCCAAAACTTTCCCGTGTTTAAAACAAATTCTTGATGAGAAAACCAAAACCCAAAACAAAATATAAAAAAAAACAGATGTAATAATCAAAAACCCATCTGAATAAAAGATGGGAGATGGTGACACAAACACTCACATGGCCAAAGAACAGATTTTGACTTGCGTACAACAACAAAGAATCTCTCCAAGAAAACCCCACCAAGATTGGATTTTTAATGAAAACTCGTATACCCAATTCTAAATTTTTAAAAGAAAATGAGAAAATTTTAGGAAAAAAAAATAATGCTGTTGCAACAGTAAGCAGGAGATTCAGATCACAACCACGATTTACAGAGAGGATTTAAAGAGAGAGTGAAAGGTGTATGAGATGAAAGAAATCTCAGTTCAAAAGCACCCACCACCTAGTTATGTCTACTACTCGGAAAAGATGAAAGAAATCTCAACAAAAGAACGACCAGTTCAAATCTTCCCAAAAAATAAAATCAAAACAAAATCTAAAAAGAATTATACTGAGAGAGAGAGAGAGAGAGAGAGAGAGATTTGGGTGATTTTCATGTAGACCCCACCTTTATGAAAAAGTGTCAAATACAACACCAAGTTATATAATTCTTGGACCATTGCCTTTTAGAGAACAATCAAAGGATTATCATCATATTTTTTTATCCATATAATCTTAGTAATTTGTATTTTAATGTTTTCTTTAAATTTAAAATGATTAGATTTATTTATTAGTTTTAATAATACAACATTATTCTAACTAAAATCTATATCTCTATTTGTCAAAAAGAGAAGAGATGAAAGTGTATATATATATACATATATTCTAAATATTTATTTATTAATAATAACATAAATGTCATTATGACAATTCTAAATTAATAATACCAACAATTCTACAATATATATATATATATAGAGAGAGAGAGAGAGAGAGAGAGTTGGGTTATGGTAATAAGGACAGTTAAGGTGAGAAGCATAAGAATAAATCTTTATCATTGGATGCACAATAGGATGAGATGCATCGAATCAATCCGCGTATCAAGCATGATTTATGAGTGGTTTTGAGATTAAAGTTGATTAAAGGTCCAGATTTCTTCTTACGCTTTTGACCTTAATTCTCTTTCACATACACACACACACACACACACATATATATATATATATATATATATATGATTGAGTTCCAGTAAAAAAAGAAGTTATGATGAAAAACGTAAGAATAAATCTTCATTCTTTGACCAATCAACACTAATGAGGTGCATCTAGATGCATCAGATTAAATCTCTTTTAAAACACAATTCATATGCGGGCATGAGATTAAAAATGATCTTGTTTAGATCTTTTCTTATACTTCTTATCATAATTTTCTTTCTTACACGATACTTCGTCTCTCTCTCTCTCTATATATATATATATGTATATAATTTAAGTTGTATACATTATATGATATTGAGGCTTTTTTAAATATGACAATGATAATTATTGTCATATTCCCTCGAATAATTGAGTAAAAGTTGTGAGCCTTTTTTTATATGCCATGTTAGTAAACATGAAAAAATGTTTTTAATTCTTTGTATTTAATCGAATTTTCTTCATTTCAGTTCTTAGTCTACAAAAAAATCATTAAACCAACATTTCTCATATCTTTTTATGATGAAATCATATTTTAAATAAATCCTTTTTCTAAATTAAATACTCCTATAATATTATATAAAATTTGATTTATTTATGGAATGTGATTTAATCTATCATTTATTTATACTACATTATAAACAATTTTAAATACAAGTAAATTGTACATAGATACAATTTATTAATCTTAATTTTTGAATTCATATAACTAACTGTAGATAAACATAGTCAAATACATAATAAAAATCTCATTTTAAATATAAAAATTTTAAAATAATCTTGAGTTTTAACAAAGTAGTTAATTATCATCTTTATAAAAATTATATTATTAAATAAAAATAAATTATTTTGTTATTAAATCTAAATTAAATTATAATAAAAATTTGAATTAAATAAATTACACAGAAAACAAGAATTTTTAAATAGTTATCTAATACTAATATCGATACATTTTTTTAATATAAATTTATATTTCGTTCAAAAATGAAAATATTATCGTTTTTTAAAGCCACGTAAAACAATATTATATCGAATAAAAAAATAAATAAAATGAAACATTAAAATCAAGATATATCTTACAATATTGGGCGAGTACCCTTCTCATAAATATAAATACCCATTGATTAAAACAAATAGAAATAATGTTTGATCAATATCATAAATGTTTTACAAAGATAATTGACGTACAAAAATATAATTTATATTAAAAAAATTGAACTAAATATATATATTTATTTTAGAAGATCCGAAGAGAATATCGAAATCTTTAGCACATATAATTTTTTCTAATTAGAAGCAAAAATTGGTATTTTGGTAACACATTAGGGGCTAAACTGTAAATATCCAAAATAGATACGGTGAAATTATAGAATCGAAGACTAGCAAAAAGCAAAATCGAGAGATGCCCGTATTCTACGGGCAGGTGCATAAATTCCCAATTATACCCTTGACCGTGGGGGTAGCAGGGTTGCCCGGAGGGGGATATGATCGGAAAAGAAAAGGTAATGGTCAGTTTGGGGCAGGGGAAAGAAAAAGGGTAGTTGTGGGACCCACATCTAGGGGGTGACGTGTCGGCCAAACACGAGCAGACGCTACCCACGCGCCTCATGCCTTTCCGTCTCTTCCTCCGAGGTGCCGTGTGCATTCAGCATTTTTTTTAAATAAACAAACATTTAAAAATAAAAAATAGTAAAATTACAGATTTAATCCCTGTGGTTATATAGGAATTATGATGGGGTGCTCCAAAAAAGGTATTTACACATATAGTTACCATGGTTTATTTTTGTTATAAATTGAGTCCTTTCACATAACTCTACTAACAATTACTCCATTAAGTCAAAATATTTTTTGCCTTTTTACATCTTTCTTTCATTTCTATTTAAAAAATAATAAAGTTATCTGGTGCATCTCCATGCATTTTATTGTAAATATATATCCAAGGGTAGACGTCTCTTCTTACGTTTTTCATCTTAATTCTCCTTCTCATTGGAACTCAAACCTACATACATACATACACACACACACGCATGTGTGCGCACACACACACTCATATATATATATATATATATATGTATATATTTACACCAGAGAATTTTTTTGCCGGCCTCCTTCGTCTTCCAACATCCATCTCTCTTGTTTCGACACCCTTCCCTTTCACCGGGATGTCATAGTTTTATATTAATTAATTAAGAGTAAAAATAAAATCAATCATATGAAAGAGATGAACCGATGGCAACGTAAGAACATCTCTAATGCAAGGTTATTATAAGCAAAAAGAAAATTGGTTTGTAGGAACTATCATTGTGGACAGTTCTTACAAGAACCTCAACCTCCTTGAGCTTTTGTACAAAAACATTGGTTCTTAACATGAAGTTTGTGTAAAGTGACAATTTTCTAATTTTATATTTTTCCCTATCCAAAATTTGATATTTATTTATAACTATATAATAATTATTAATAGTTGAAAAAAACATAGGACCCATAAAATATATGTTTTTTAAGATCTACTATTATGAACTTTTACGTTCTTAATTTGATGAGTTATAAGTGAGGTGACAACAAAAAAATACAAAAAGAAGGTTCTTATAAGAACCTCCATTGGATATGTTTTCTTACAGGAACCAACTTTGTATAGAGTTCTTATAAGAGCATCTTTAATGCAAGATTCCTACAAATAAAAAGTGAAGTGGCTTATATACCATATAAGAACCTTATCCTCTTTAGGTTCTTGTACAAGAACATTAGTTCTTATCATGAAGTTTGTGAGGAATGACATTTTCCTAGTTTTTTTTTTTTTTTTGACTTGATAATTATTATTGATGTTGAAAAATCAATGGGACCCACAAAAAAGGAGAGCATTACCATTATATACTTTTAGAAGAGTTCTTAATTTGATGAGTTGGAAATGAGATAATAACAAAAAAAGAGGTTGTTATCAAAACTGCCACTGAAAATGCTCTATGTCACTTTATTTGAGTTGTTGTAAAAGAACATTGCTTCTTACTTTAAAGTTGATGTGAAGTGACAATTTGCTAGTTTTTTTATATATTTTCTTGACTTTTATATCTGATATAATGATTAATATGTATATACTTATTTAACTTGTAATATACATGAGACTCGCAAAATGGCAAATTGGTTCTTATAGGAACTACTGTTGTGGAGTTTTATGTAAGTTATTAATTCAGTGAGTTGAAAATGATTTGACAAAAAAAAGTACGAAAAAGTGAGTTATTATAAGAACCTCCATTAAAAGAAAGTATGTGTAATAAAAACGTATATTAATTAATTAAAAGTAAAAAAGAAAATGTTTGAAAAATGATAATTTTAATATACATACATATGTATAATTTTTAATTTCTTAAAAATTAAAAAGTGAAAACAAGTAAAAAAGATTAAAATATTATTGATTGAACAAAACTTTTAATATATATTTAGTATAAACTATGTTACTTTATTACTGTTTAAATAGAAATGAGACAAAAATGCAAAATGACAAAAACTCCCTTGATTTAATTGAGTTGCCGTTAATCGAGTTATAACAAGGGATCAAATTCGTAATAAAATTAAAATCACGATGACTATAAATGATCCAATCTACAATTCTTATATAACCATAGGGACTAAATATGTAACTTACTCGATGAAAATTAAGTGTAATCCATATATTAATATCAAATTAACTATTTAATTTTTTTCTATTTTTATACAATTTTTATAATTCATTTTTTTATTATAATTTAATTTAATGTAATGAAATAATTTAATTTAAGTTTAATAATATAATTTCTTAAAGCCATAATAATTAAGTATTATTTTATAACTTAATTATTATCCTAATTATATTTTAGATTTTTTATATTTAAAATTAGATGTATATCATGTATTTAATTATGTTTATCTGTAGTTAGTTACATGAATATAAAGCTTTAATAAGTTGTACTTACGTACAATTTACTTGTAATATTGAATTTTAAATAATATGCATCAATAAACAGTACATCGAGTATAAAAGATGATTTTTAAAAGTTTTTTGTCAAATGTTTTATAATATAGTATAAATAAGAACACATATACTAATATTAAAAAATTAACATTATATACTTATACATTGTTATTTAGATTTAGGGTTAAAATATATTAAAATACAGTACAATTTGTTTTAGTTTTTATTTGTCTATTTTTTTTAAAATTAGTGTAACATATACGTAATTTCTCATTCTTACGGATATAAGTAATAAGGGTGTCAATTTTATACTA